CTGTAGCTGCCACCTCGAGGCACCAGCATCGCTTTCACCACCGCTCCTTACAGATGAGCACATGGTGCTCCTCTGTGATAATAATGCATCTGCATGAGATTCGAAAAGATTTTTTGCTGCCAGTGGCTTGAATACCAACAGGGTCTTGAAAAAAAAAAAAAAAGAAAAAAAGAAAAGGACTGCATTAGCCAAAAGAAACTGTCCTATAAATTGACATAAATTGGAGAGTTTTCACTGATTTCAGTGGGCTACTCTTCATTCCTTGTATTTTTATACAGTTATGGTGACCTCTTCCTTGCTTGTCAGAGGATACCACCACTCCCAAGAGTTACAGGAACCAGCTGCATTTGGGGAATAATTTTTTATTGTGTTAGGGAGATCCTGCTTCTTACTCCCCTCAACCTTCTGCTTACTAGCTGGCTTAATTGTCCTACCATCTCCTTAGACTGTGAATAATTATCTTCATTTATATTGTTATCTTGAATGTATTTATAGTCTGATTCTTACGGGTTAGCATCACCATCTGTTTCTTCAACAGTTACATATTCGGGAGAGCACGAGCACTTTTCACATTATGCAAGCAGCTTGCTTGATTAAACCAGCACGGCGTGGATGGATTTTGTTATGAAACCCTGGCACATTTCTAAGTCTCTGGCTTCTATTATCAATAACTTCTAGGCTCTGGAAAGACCATCCATTAAATTAAGCCACTTTTAAGCTGCAGCTTGCATTTCAGAACTCCTGTTAACTGTGATTGATTAATGTAATTTAAGAAAAGATTTCCAATGGACTATAAAGACAGTGATGTGATTAGCCGTAAACACTGATCTTTCCTAAACCAGCGATAAAACGTTTAGGAGGAAGCGATGGGCTATGTATTTCAAGTAGGGCCAGTGATTTTTGTAAAACATAACCAAGTCATTATTTTTACATAAAAAGTTGAATTTAAAACTTAAGCATAGCGTTGTAAACATGTAATTATGGCACAGGAAGATATTGGAAACAGGTGAGATTTGGGGATGAAACAGGTGATAAAAACATTGTGCTTAGACTTTACATTAATCATACATTATCTAAACTTTTACTCCAATTTTCAGACTTCAAGTATTTCAAGAGCAACAACATTAAGTATATTATATTATGTCTTTATAAGACCCCTGACAGAGTGATATTCAGGAGCATTTTACAGAGTTTAACAGAATGAGTATTCACAGATCAGCGAGAGCATATTCTCATCAGGCACAGTAACCACGCAGCTTTCCTCCTGCTGTCCTTGAAAGAACCAGCGACGGCAGACAGCACTCCAGGTACTAACTTGGGGAATTCCGGGATCATTTCCTTGACAGAAAGCCCAAACAGAGAAAAGCTTCTCAAACACAATTCCCAGCTCAGTCAGGTGTAATTCTAACTGAGCACGTATTCTTGGTACACTGGGGTATTGCTCAAACATGGCAGAGTTAAGGCTCTGTTGTGAGAATGACATTTAAACATATTTTCAGGCATCATGTTTGCATATGCTTTAAAGTTCAGCTGCATTTCCATATTCTGGAAGGGCATAAAATACTAACCATAAAAAAATAATTTAAAAAAACATTAAGAACATAAATAAAACCACACAAAATCATAAGGCAATTTGAACTCTGTGTCAGAACGTTTAATTGCTACAGGCTTTTGTTTGTTTATTTTTTCATGTGTCGGCATCCTCCGCTGCTGCCTTGGCAATGATTCCTCCTCCTCCAGAACCCACTGGTTGTGTGCTGGTCCCGTCACTGTTTCCGCGTCTCACATCACCACGACAGCCTTGTTCTTGCTCTCCAGTTTTCCTCTCCAAGGAGAGGTAGCTGACAGGATGGGAAGCTGGTGATGGGTCTTATGAAGAGTGCATAGGCTCATATTGAGTTGTGGGATAGTATCTGAAGAGATACGGGATTTATGAGGGATGTAAGGGCTTTGCGAGGAGCCTCCCCCGAGTTCGTCACCGCAGAGTTCCCCTTCTTCACACCTTTCTTGCATTCCCTCTGCACTGCCTGGATTCCTCGCATGTCCCCCAGGTATACAGAGCCCTTCTAGGACGATGGCCCATCTGCTTCAGCTCCTCCAGTCTGCACTCCTCCTCTGCACACACATGGACCTTCTCTTCTCAGCTCCACACTCTTGACCCCACCTTGTGACCCCGCTGACTTTAGGGAGACCAGAAGGGGGGAAGGCGACAAGGCTGTGACAGAAACAGGAGAGAAAGCAGTTAGGTAGAGCCGCTAGTCCCAACGATGGGCTACTGCAGGGGTTTGCTCAGGCGACAGAGCAGATGGTGGCAGCGACAGCTTTTGGCGTCTCACATCACTCCCACTCATCGTCCGACTTTCCCACACACCTCCACCTTCACAGACCTTAAATAGAAAGCGCGGATGTGGGACAAACAGCACTGCTGCAGAGTACGTGAAAAGCATAGTGCCTGCAAAGGGCTACAGCGGCTCACAGCTCAGGGAGTTTGGGTTCAGTGGCAACAGAGCACATCAGTGTCACGACAGCCTACCTTGAAATCCTCTTGCTTCATTAGCACCCTTGTCCTCCTGCATGTATGCACTCAGGCTCTTTGGCTTGCCTGTCTGGCAAAGAGCAAATGTCTAGACCCAGCTCACCAGTTAATAGCTTTTTCAGTATTTATTTTGCTTCCCTGGAGAAGAAATGGGTCCCGCGCACCGAGCTGATATAAATACCGTGTGACAGATCTGGGGACGTGATCAGGGCCGTAGTTACACTCCCGGGCGTGCATAAAAAATGCTTGAAGAGCAGCTGATTTTACAGGTGTGGTTATTGTGGGGAAAGGAGAAGGGGAAGATTCGTAGGGAGAAAGGAGCTGGTTGTTGGGAGTGGGAAAAGCATTACCTTAGCAATCTCTTTCTCATGTGATCCCAAATTTTCATTACACTAGCCGCTATCCGTTATAAACTCCCTTTTCCCAGCTAGGGGATCAAGTCACAGGGAGACACATATCACAACCAATATTCATTAGAACACCTTTTATTGATTAAGCTCTTACTACTAATAGAGTCCAGCTTTTATTATTAATAGTAGATAACTGATCACACACTTCGCTCATGCACGCATGCTCTCTCTGTTTTCCAGCTGGAGCAACAGTTGGAAGGCCAAGCCCAGCTATCTACCCGGAGACAGAGCCTCGTCCTGATGCGCCAATGGCTTCTAGGTGGGTGTTTGCCAAGTCCCTCAAAGGGTGCCTTGTTTCATCGGGTGTATATATAATCCTCTTGTCTCTGTCAGCATAGTGCAGCCACTGCCTTTGCGGATGCAGTCAGAATTAAGACAACGCAATGCTGATGGTGGGGGCCTTGCACAGATGCAGCAAACTCTTGGTGTCCCGAGTTTATTACTGGCAGATTCAGCAGGATTGCTAGCCTGTGGGGCTTACTAATTCTTGGAGGACTTTCATGTGCTGCCTTTCAGCATGTACTTTTCCTCTCTTCAGTCTGCTTTTGGATAACTGTCTGTCCATCCACACCCAGAGGTACCTGCAGAACCCATTCCCACAAACTCATGCTAAGGGGCTTTCATGACACAGCAATTACAGACCAGAAATGTCAATACCATCTAAGTAAGGCTGTGTATTTCCGACACTTTGAATAACTTACCTGTTTACAAGCGGTGACTGACCTCACCTGTAGCAGAGCTGGCATTTAGCTACAACGCAGTAATGAAGATTATTTAGAAAAACTTAACATTTCCTAACCTTGATGGGGTTAAAACCGCAGCACTGAGTCAAAAAGTCCTTCACTGTAGTATGTGGGCACATACACACTTGCACACAAATGCAGCTTTTTCTTTGCTCCAAAACCGAGTTAAGATCTTGGGTTTGACAGCCTGTTATTTCATGAGGGCTTGAGATAACACAGCATTCCCACAAACTTTGCAAAATGTGTCTTGTCATGTGGCTCCGTGACTATGAAAGTCTGAACAGCTGTACATCTCCCCCTGCAAAAAGACAGATGAAGGCAGCTGTACTGGCACAATGACACGCTTTCATGAAAATGGCTAAAACTGAACTAATTCAAACCAGATTTTTAGCACTCGTGTCCTACCAGTTGACTCCCACCGTAGCTGATCTTCTACCCCTCTGATCATCAGACATGGGTCTGGAAAGCACAGGTTACCATAGTGGGGTTTATCATTTGTATCCTGACCGTATTTGCGACCTCCTGCCTTCACTCCTAACCACCACTCTCTTGGAGCAGTGAGGAGATGGGGCTTTTTTGCCCCTCCTGAGACATTTTATTTCTGTTCAAGAAGGATGCTGTACCCTAAGGATACCTACGCATTTAGCCTCATAGCGAACGGCTCTCGCATTAAATGTCGCGGCAGCCAGAGCGCACACCGCAGGGCCCACGGTGGGTTTACGCCTTCACGAGGGCTTTGTGAGGACACGAGAGATGGTTTGGTGCGTGGCTGGACGGCGCGGACAGCCGACGCCTGGCCCCTCAGAAACGAGCTCTGCGCTACGAATTAACGCGTCCCCACGGCACGCGTGGTTTTACGCTTGACCAGCTCTCGGCACCAAGGCGTCGCTGCCATCTTGCTCGGGTAGGAGAAGCCCCCGGGCTGGGTCTCCTCACAGGAGGGAGCCCGCCCTCACACCCAGCACCCCCTCCCCTGCCGCCCCCGTCCCGCCTTCGCGCCGGCTGCGCCTCAGGGGGCCTCATCCAGCCCTTCTTCCTCGTAGAGGCCCTACCCGCCGCCGGACCGGAGCTGAGGGAATGTCGCGCCGTACCGCGCACGACGACGACGCCGGGGGGGCTCCCGATCTCTTCAACCAGCCGTAGAGCGGGCGGCGGGCGGCGGCGAGGCGCGGGGAGGGCGGCGGAGCGGCGGGTGTGCGGACAGGCGCTGAGGACAGCCTGCCGCGCCGCGTGTGAGGAAGGCCCCATCGAGCCGCGCCGCGTGTGAGGAAGGCCCCATCGAGCCGAGCCGGGTGTGAGGAAGGCTCCGTCGCGCCGCCGCTGAGGGGAAGGGAAGGGAAGGGAGGCCGCGATGCCGCTCTACGAGGGCCTGGGCAGCGGCGGGGAGAAGACTGCCGTGGTGATAGACCTGGGCGAGGCCTTCACCAAGTGAGTGGCCCCGCGGTTCCCGCCCCGCCTGCCCCCTTTCTGTCGCGACAGGCTTCGCCCTGGAGCCAGTGTCGCGGCTTGCGGGGCGGGCCTGCCCTCGGGATGAATAATTGTGTGTGGTTGTGGTTCCCCCCACCCCCTTCTTATGGTGATCTGCGTGGTACAAAGCCGACAATAACAACCCTTATTTTTTAGTCTCGTGTTTTAGATTAAAATAAAATTAAAAAAAAAAAAGATGTAACTCGAGGTGGAAGGAGAAATACTCAGTATTTAGTAATTTATGTCGTGGGCAAAAAATGCTTCTGCCCACCCCATATCAAAGTACCCCGTTGTGTTAGAAACCCCCAGCTCCCCCCACGCTCGTGTCCCAGGTACGTGCAGCCCTTGTGGAAAAGGGACAGTTTAAGCAATCTGGGCCCACGTCTAGGGTTAAAATACGCTGGAAGGGGTCCCTGGGTTTCAGTGGCCTGTTCGGAGAGGCAGCTTGCACACAGAAAAAAAGATTACATTGCAGGAAAAGCACCTCTGCAGATGTGTGCCGCTCTTAGGCTAGGCCTATATCTGCAGTTGTGTCCATGTGGGTGCATTTATGTGTTTGAAGCCTTAGGGATGTCTCTGCTTCTCTAAAGAGGCAGGAGTTGTTGGGTTTGTATTTGTATTTCTGTGAAACTTGGTTTTGTATTAAGTTGTACTTGCTTTTTTTTTCAAGTGGCTGTGTAATTGCAGACCAGCAGGCAGGCTTCGTTACCTGGAAATGGCTGCAGTGTGGTTATGGAGAAGGTTTAACAAAGTCTTTATGGGTGGAAAAAAGTATTCTACAAGTGGCTTTTTGTGGATTCATGTCGTGTTGCCAATTGCAGGCTTTTCCCAAATTTGGGGCGCTTGTGAGGTTTTATCCCATGGGCATTATTTGTCTAATAAAATGCTCTCATGGAAAAGCATTTCCCCTGAATAGTGTGTTTTTAGGGTCTGTTTCCAGCCTTCATTCTTGTAGAAGAGATAACAATTACATGAGAGACATCTGTCCTTTTCCAAGTAAGGCTGAAATTAACCAGAAGTTCACAAGTTGTCAGGATGACAGGCAAGGACAACTGCATACACACACTGGGACCGCACAAGTCTTTGTTTGAGAGACCAAAGAAAAAAGATTAAGTTCTGAATTATGTCTTATTTTATGATTTTTTTCCTGAAATGATCTGAAGAAACACACTGACAGTTGCCAAATACCAAAATAAAGAATTAATTGACCTTTTACATTAAAAGTACTCGAAGTCCAGCAGCTTTATAGTTTTCTGCTAGTGTTTTCTGCTGCAGTTTTCTTCTGAGCTTTGTACTTCACGGGGGTGGCAGCGGTGAAACAAATGTCAAGCACTGAGTTTCTTAAAATCAGACCTTGAATTTCTTTTGTTTTTAATTTGCCTTCAGTCCATGATTCTTGTGTCTTTTAAGGTGCAATTGCTTTATGAAAACCAGATGAGTTTCTGAAAAGTTTGGTTTGGGGTTGGTACTATTTTTATTATGTTGCATATAAGTTGGATGCGGAGCCCTCATGTTTTGTCAGGAGGCCTAGAGTAGTAACCAGTCATCTTGAGGCAGTAATACCTTAAATCATCCAGGATGCTTGTGAAGGAAATGCATTTCAAAGCTGGAAATAGGAAAAAAAAGTGTCAGTGGAACGTTGCTGGTCAGCAGTGAAATAGGCCACAGGACCTACGTGATTGTGATCATCTTGTGTTTGTCTTTTGTTTCTTCTAAATAAACGTCACAGAAGACAAGGATTTAAAGAGGGCATGATAACTTAAACTTGCCTGTGTTTACTGAGAGCTTCAGTGAAAACTGTGGGCCCATATGGAAGGCACAGAAAAGTATTTCTTTGGAAATTTAATAGGCAGTAAGGAAGGCTGCAGGTGGATGATTGTAAACAGAAAACTACTCAGTGGAAAGTAGGAGGCACATCAGAACTGAGTGTTGCAGTTGTTACAGAAGTGAAGAAAACTTGTTTTGTTTCATGCAGCTGAGAGGGAGTCAATAAAAAGATGTAAAATCTTTCTCATTCAAAATTGCTAGATAAAAAAGCTATATGTGAAACACCTCTTCGCAGTCACTAAAATATCCCTAATTAATTACTCTTTGATGATTTCTAGGCCCAGTATGTTAAATAGTGACTTCAAATGATAAGTTTTTCAACATTTTCCTTTAGGTGTGGTTTTGCAGGAGAAACAGGACCAAGATGCATTATTCCTAGTGAAATAAAGAAACCCGATGTCGCAAAGGTAAACTATTTTACCTGAACTGTTTTACCTTTATAATGTTTGGTACGTTATGGTATAGAAAGAATTTGCAGATATGTTTGCTGTCCATCATAAGCTATTTTTCATTAACTGTAACTGCTGCTATTAAAAGATTGTAACTAGATACAAGTAAGCGTGATACCAGTGCTGATGTTAACTGGTACTCATCACCCATGCAGCTTATGTTTGGGGCATTTGTTGAGAAATTTCTTTGCCTAGCTACGCTTTTTTTTCCTTATAGTAGAGGACGGCAGCTTTGGAAAACTAATGTTGAGATAAGTTACCAGTTCAAAAAAATTAACATGGATAAACTCTGAAGTTTAGTTATAGGTTGAGTTTATGAGATGCATTGTTAAGGACATAGAGCAAATCAGACAAGGGTATTAATTTATATGTGTCAAATTATATATGTTCAGATAGAATATATTATCATATCCATATAATATATATATTTCTTTATATATAATGTATATATTTCTTTATGTATAATCACTGCCTAGTATTTAAGCTGACTGGATATTTTTACTTTACAGCCTATCAAAGTTGTTCAGTGTAATATTAATACAGAAGAGCTATATTCATATCTGAAGGAATTTATCCATATGCTGTATTTCAGGTAAGAGATTGTCCTGGTGTCTGCTGGGATAGAGTTAATTTTCTTTCTGGTAGGTGGTACAGTGTTATGTTTTGGGTTCAGTATGAGGGGAATGTTGATAACACACTGATGTTTTCAGTTGTTGCTAAGTAGTGTTTATACCAAGTCAAGGATTTTTCAGCTTCTCATGCCCAGACAGCAAGAAGGCTGGAGGGGCACGAGGAGTTGGGAGGGGACACAGCCAGGACAGCTGAGCCCAACTGGCCAAAGGGATATTCCATACCATGTGACGTCATGCCCAGTATATAAACTGGGGGAGTTGGCCTGGGGAGGGGTGGCTGCTCAGGAACTAACTGGGCATCAGTCAGCGAGTGGCAGGCAATTGCATTGTGCATCACTTGTTTTGTGTATTCGAATTCTTTTATTATCATTATTAGTTTCTTCCTTTCTGTCCTATTAAACTGTCTTTATCTCAACCCACGAGTTTTACCTTTTTTTCCCCTGATTCTCTTCCCCCATCCCACCGGGTGGGGGGAAGTGAGTGAGTGGCTGTGTGGTATTTAGTTGCTGGCTGGGGTTAAACCACGACAGAGATACTTGGATGTTAGTTACTCAAGCCTTCTGTGGTTCTTTTCTGAGTACATTGAGAGGTGTTAGAAGTGTGACTGAAGACTGCTGACTAGTTGAATAAGAAAACAGAAACAGGATTTTGCAGGTGTCTGCCTGGCTGTCTTCTTGCAGGAGAAATTCAGTGGTGCTAAGATTCAAGTTATGTTACAAAGAGTTAGTGTCCTGCAGCATCAGTTGCTCCCTAGAAGTAAAAAGTATTTGATGAGTTGCCTTTTAATTGTGGTGCTCATAAAGGACTAGGTAAGGGAAAGTCATTACCTAAGGAGTTGTACTGATTTTGGGAGGGCTGAAGCTCATCTTATATCGGTGCAGAGCTCCTTCCACATGATAGGGGTTTGGAAGGAGGAATCTTAACCTGTGGAATATTTTTACCTCAGTGATACATCTTTGTATTGTATTTTTAGCACCATTAGTGAATAACAAAGTTGGACTTAGTCTTTTCTCTTTACTTCCAATCCTTATTTTTACACATGAAAAATCATCACTTGACACAGGGAAACCAGTAGTGAATTTCTGTGCCTCAGATCATCCGATGTGGGTTGTTGTTTTTTTTTTCCCCTGTCCTTCATCATTGCTTTGTAATTGAAATCAGGACAATTCCATCTTCTTTCACTGAAATCAGGACATCTGTATCGTCATTCTTCCTCTTTTATGGACACACTGTATGACACCGGACAAGCCATTAATAGCTATTATGCAGCCTATTTTTGTATTCTTTATATTGATTTAGAAATGTATAATGCATATTCAGAACTACAGCCCGCTGACAGCTCTATAACTTGTTTTCTGTAACTCAGTTTCCTAACTTTATTTTAGGAAAGTGGTTTTTTTTAAACTTGGGAAAAAGACTTTGGGATCTGCTGTAGAAAATGCTATCTAAATCCAAATCTTTAGGATTTTTGAGGAGAATGGAATATGAAAATAAGGTAGGTCTCATAATACGTGCTTAAACTTAACAGTTTTGTTTTACATGTCTTGCCTTTTTTAGACATCTGCTGGTGAATCCCAGAGACCGTCGTGTTGTGATCATAGAATCTGTCTTGTGCCCTACACACTTCAGAGACACGCTCACAAGAGTCCTTTTCAAGCATTTTGAGGTACGTGTTTTACATAACTACTGTATATGCTCAGCGTAGCACTTGCCACTAGAACTTTTACTAACAGTCATTACCAGATGTAGACAAAGAAATGAAAGTAATGCCAAAAGAATGAGAGAGGCATGAAGAAGATGAAAAAAAGCTGATGGTTGTCTGGGGAAGTAGGGTTTGGAGACTGGACTAAAGGCTATTTTTATTCCATTCTCACTCTTCATGAGGCCACAAAACAGGACGTATCAACAAGAATCCGAAAGGTTTCTCAGGGTTGTACGAAAATACAGCTCACATCACGCTGTTCCAGACAGATCCAATAATCCCCATTGAGCACTGCCTGAAGCCAGAATTTATATTTAAACACTTGTTAGTGCTCTGTCAGCAAATCTCATCACTTCTACCACAGTCAATGTCTTTGGCTAGCACATGATCTAATGTCTGGCTGTACTCATTTAGATAAGAGCTTACCTGAATTTTATTACCTTCTCTGCTTAATCAGTCTTTTTGAAGAAATGTCTGAACCTAATTCTTGCTTAGTTCTAACAAAATGTTTTGGAGGTGAATCTGTACTTCTTCAATTCAGATAGAACAAAGGTTAAAGTTCTTCTATAAAAAGTGGTGAAACCAGTTTGTCTGCAGTACTTCTTCACTGTGCTTCCACAACACATTTTACCAACTAATCTTAAACTTCTGCATAATTCTTTCCTGCTATTGATAAAATTTCCTGATGACTTGAAATTGCTGGAAGATTTGAGTGATTTGGGTTTTTTTTCCTAATCCCCTTATAGGAAAAAAATATGTCTCAGATGAAGCCGTCCCATGCAAAATTAGTTGTCAAAAATGACTCAGAAAGTCATATTTTGGTGGAGAGAAAGCCACACTTTTATGGGTTTTCTGGCACCTTTGTTCACATCTTCAAGACTTTATACAAAATTTCAAGTAGCTGTGTTTTAGTTTCTTTAATTTCTTTTCAATGACAATCAGAAACCTGATCTATGACTTAAGAAGAGTTCTATAGTTAACACTTGCTTTTCTTACAAGCCCATTCCAAGATTCATTATTACTGAGGTAACTGGTATGTACCACAAATAAGATGAACACAGAATTCAGAATCCTCTTGTATTTTGTTCATTACTACACTACTGTAAAAACTAAGTTAAAAATGGATACCTCAAGATACAGTTGTCTGAGTTTTGCTTTTAATATGACATTTGGGAAAAGCATCAGTGCTTTGGGTGGTTTGTTTCTTTTTGCCCCCTTCTGTCAATTGTTCTTTTGGTTTTCATGTAGGTACCTTCAGTTTTGTTTGCTCCAAGTCATCTAATGTCTCTCCTGACACTTGGGATCAATTCTGCCATGGTGCTAGACTGTGGATATAGAGAAAGCTTGGTGCTGCCTGTATCCTTTAATAATACACAAACAAAATTCTCAGCAAGAAGGCTGTCATGATGAGGTGTTTTTTTAATAGATTTCAAGTGTGCTAAAAAGTAATAGGAACAGATCAGCCAGTCTGGCTTTTGACTGTAAGATATCATGACTTGGGGAATCTCTTCACAGGTGACATGCTAATGCTGTGTTCCCTTGAAACTTGGGAAGGGTGGTTCATAACTTCAGGCTTTATATATTAGAAATTAGTTTTGGAGAAAAGCATTAAAAAGTGTTTCCAATAGCTAATGCAAGAGATTGTTGAGGGGAAGAAGCATTTAGTTCCAGCACAATTCCAGCAGACTGAAAACTCATAACAAAAAAAGGAGAATTTCCTGATCTTCGTATAGATATATGAGGGAATTCCGATTCTGAGCTGCTGGGGTTCTCTTCCTCTGGGAGGAAAGGCTATCCACAAGTAAGTTCAGAGTTATACGTTCCAGGTTACCAATGATTTGTGAAAGTTCATCTTTGTCTAATGAGCAAAGATTCCTGTTGAACATGACTTAAATCAACTGTTGCTGTGACAGCATCCTATTTTTAAGGTTACCACTGTTTGGCTTTTGTTGATGTAGTAAAAGCTGTGGAAATTAGACCTGCATCTAGTTTATATTTAGACAAATGTAACTGAAGGGAATAAATGCTGTCCCTTAAGCATAATATAGAGAATCAGCCTGAGTTAATAGCTATCTTTAACTAACTCCATGTGCAATGTTTTAGGGAGCTGGAATATCAATTGTTGGAGCAGTGCACAGTTGATACAGGATTAGCCAAAGGACAAAGCCTTCCATCTGTGATGGGTAAGGTGTGTTTGACATAGCATATGTGCTGTGAACTTGCACTAGGGAAAGTGGATTAATACTAGCAGTGAATACTAAACGCATTTTATTCACCGCATCTTTTGTGATATACCTTTGTGATTTCTTTCTTCGTATTTAACAAGTATATTATTTTTATGATAAGCCACTCATAGCAGCAGGTTTGAGTGAAGGCTGAGATAAGAGTTCTGAGTAATTTTTCAGTCTGTTTTGAGAGAAGACAAACTTTTTATTTCTGTTCTTAATATTCTTTCCTCCTTAGAAATCTTTAAAAGCTGCTGTCAAAGTGAAACTTTAATGTACTAAATGTAAATCAAACTTAGTATCATTCTTAAATTCTCTTTCTAGTTAAAAAGCTTTTGTTCTAAGTTATTTTTTTATTTCAGGCTCAGTTCCAGAAGACATAGTAGAGGATATAAAAGGTAAAATTTTCTGCTTCATGAAACTCTAGTTTATTAAGTTGTGCAGTAGAGTATGATAATAACAAGTGTGCAATACTTTACATTCAGGAATTTATTTTATCTTCTCTGTTTACCATGTTTCTTACCTACTGGAAGAACTTGCAGTGTTCTTCCTCTTTGAAAGCAAAACCAAAACCATTTTGAACTCCTCATTCAGGTTTAGCCTATGTGTTGTTACAGTGTAGCTCGTAGGTACATTTGGTAGACTAGCACAGAAAAGGTATTACACTGTTGTACATATCCTATGATCAGCAGGTCAGGTGTACTGGTTTCGGCTGGGACACCAAAGGGATATTCCATACCATAGCACGTCATGCTCAATACATAAACAGGGGGGAGTTGGCTGGAGGGGCAGATCGCTGCTTGGGGACTGGCTAGACAGTGGTCAGCAGGCAGTGAGCAATTGCATTACACATCACTTATCTTTTCTTGGGTTTTACTTCTCTCTCTTTTCATTGTCTCCTTTTCATTACTACTACTATTATTATTATTAATAATAATAATAATTTTATTCCAGTTATTAAACTGTTCTTATCTCCACCCACGAGTTTTAATTACTTTTTTTTTCGATGCTCCTCCCTGTCCCACTGGGGCAGGGGGGAGGAGTGAGCGAGCAGCTGTGTGGTACTTAGTTGCCAGCTGGGGTTAAACCACCACATCAGGTTAACTTCATGTTGCATTTTTTAACTACTGACATTTTGTTTGCTGCATATGAATGTGTACAATGTGAACTCTACATGGGACTTAGAGTTAGCAGATCTAATGTTCCAAACCTGTTATCATAGATGTGTTTTGGTTGCAAATGCAGCATTTAAGCAGTCCTAACATCATGACATAAGAATGTTTTAGGTTAATTTTGTTTCTAAATTAACTAGGAAGGCTCAATTTGCCTTAAAGTCAGTTTTGGGAAAAAAAAAAAAAGAATGTATAAAAGACATTTTGGCACGTTAATCAGATAGGCAAGATGAGTCAAGGACTACATTTGCACCAGAAAAAATAGAGTCTACCTTTGGGCAGAACTTGGATTAATTCCTATGTAACGTTTAATGTGCAACAGATTTAAAAACATATATAATCGTAGAAAATAGCAACTAGTATATATCTCTTGGGCCAAATTAGCAAGAAATCCATCAGTCAAATGCAAAATAACTTAAATGCAGGTGGTGCTTTGTCAAATGGAAGTTGCTCTTCTAATTCCTGGACTTGAATGCAATTTTCTGATCAGCTCTGGGTTTTATGCAGTCTTTTGGAACCAGATATATGCTAGGGTTGAAATAATGCTTCCCTCTGCATTGAAGGGTTGTTTCTTTGTGACAGCCCTTTATGAAGAAGATACTCATTTGTGCCAGATACAAATAAATAAGTATATAATAAGACTAACAGCTAGGATGCAAAGGAAATTGTGCTCTGTCAATGTTGCCTGGAGAAAAAAAAATCCTCTGGAGTTCTTAAGAGTGCTGAAGAGTTGCAGTAGGCAAAACATTGCTGAGCAGTCTCTTATTTGAAGCCATGGTGCAAGACCTGCAGTGGTGTGTTTGACAGCAGAATACTGACAGCAGAACCCCTGGCACCTTGTGGTAACCGAAGGCACGATTAGTAACGTCCACCTGTCTTTAAATCTTATGTAGCTTGTCTGAGAGAGAAATCTTGCCTGTCCTAGCATAGTTTCCATATCAGCTTCTTTTAAACTCATGGTCTAGATAGCATCTGAACTCTGCTGAAGTGTGGAGACTGTTCTTCTTTGCATTTATTTGATAATGTCTTGGACCAGCAAGGGCCTAAAGTGTGTATTCTTGTCTAAATTAAGCAAAATTATTGTCTTTATTACTGACGAAAGGATCCAACAAAGTGTCTCTTCTGCCCCTTTTGTTTCTTTTATGAAGTCCGCACTTGTTTTGTGAGTGATCTCCAACGTGGACTGAAAATCCAGGCAGCCAAGTTCAACATTGATGGCAGTGCTGAGGTGGGTGGAGAATGAAGCTTATCCTAGTCTTTTTGGCCTGGATGTAGCCTTTATGGCCTCTAAAATAATGCATTTATGTTTTTATTTCTAGCGTCCTTCACCACCTCCAGACGTGGACTATCCTTTAGATGGAGAAAAGATTCTCCATGTAGTTGGCTCCATCAGGTGAGAAACACCATAGGAGGATATATTTTCAACTGTAAAAGCACATAATTTTCGTAAAATTGAGCTTTAATGAAACACTTGCATATGCTTTTAATGTCTCTCAAATAAAGGCTTTATGCTGGGCACAGAGCAAGCCCATAATGAGAGGTGTCAGCTTCTCTAGAGAGCTCACAGTTGAGGATGAGAGCAAACAGATTGGAGGGATGGGGGAAGCAGAAATATGGAGTATTAATGCATGATGATGAGACACGTTTAGTGAAGTGAATGGGGCATTGTCTCCTCCCCATTGGCACCGCCTGGCGCGTGGACTGTGTGATAGAAGAAGTAGCGATGAAGTGTTGTCAGCAGGAAGTCTGTAGTTATTTCCAGCTCTGCTGTTCGTGAGTATTAGCTCATAGTGTAGTATTGCTTCTCATTAACACTCATTTCCTGTCTTTTCAACAGAGACTCTGTTGTCGAAATACTGTTTGAACAGGATAATGAAGAGACATCTGTTGCCACTTTGATCTTAGATTCACTCATTCAGGTATCTTTATATTAGAAACAATTTATTGAATGCCTCCAGCCTTAGAGAACCTGCTGTTATGAATGATTCTAGAGTAACACCCTTCCGACTGCAGGTTGCAATTGGTTGAAAGCGTTTAGCACAGCATGACTCCTAGGGTTCTGCCACATGATGAGTTTCTGTGAGGTAGTAAGTCACCATGTGTCATCCACTCTGTAATTCTTTTCTTACTCTTTGGTATACTGCAATGTGTCTAGGACAGTTTTCTAAGAAACGTGGCGCTCACACCTCAGCAAAAGTAATAAACTAGCTTGCCTTTATTTCGGTGTGGGGCTCTACATATGTAATGATGGAGGAGTAGCTAATGCTTGGTAGTGTAGGAATTGCACTGCTTAAACTGAAATGACACAGGTATTCTGTTTCTTCTTTTTTCAAGGTGTTTCGCTCCTTTATGAGTCCTGCAGACTGCTGGTTTACCTAAGATAGAATAAAATTAATTTGGACATCTGTATTACAGGCAGTATATTAGATTTATTGCAGAAAATTTTCTTGGCATATACAAATGCTTCATTTCCTCTTACATTTAGGAAAAAAATGCACTAGAAAACCACTATAAATGGAAATTTTCATTATGTGGTGGGTGTATGTATGTTAATTAAAGCTGACTTTCTGTAGTTATTGATGCCATTTAAATTAGTTTGCTGAGACGTAATTTGTTGGAGAGCCATAGGCTTGGATGACATGACAAACGTTTCAATTAGAACTCCTTATGAAAACAAATTGTTTAGCAATATCTGTGCCTGGACCCCTCACCTCTGTACCTCTAGGCATTTACCTTGCATCACTCTTTGGCAGGAGGAAAGACAAATGTTAAATTTACAAGTGTTAAATAGCGTCCAGTTACTTCCTCTGGACAAGAGGACCACAGCAGTCTGGAATTTTTTCAAAGGGATAGCGCAGGTCTGTTTGTGAGGGGCAGAACTGACAAAGCTTGGTCTTCTCATGCCTTTGTGTCTTCTGGTTGGATTATTTGATGCCTAAGGCAAGCTCCAGCAGGAACCTTTTCTGCCACTGAGACTTTTGCAGCACCTTTCTCCCACATGGAGCTAAAAAGTCAGCATCATATGTAACAGTTTTCCCTCTCCGAGAGCACTGGTTGAGGCTTCACCTCTCTCTGGCACATCTTCTCCCAGAACTCATGGGCTTTATTGTCACTGATACTTCTGTCCTCTGTTGTCTTGGCCTGTCTCAGCTGAAAGGCTTTACAGGGACTCACAGCGTGCCCATAAAAGCCTGAACTGGGCAGTTCCTTAAGCCTGGTTTTCTTGGGAAGTGTGGGGAAAAAATTACGTTGGTTATGTTTCAGCTAAGCATGAGAAAACAGCAATTGAAGTGCATAGAAAGACTGAGTGAATTTCTGACAGGCCTTTGAATGCTTGTTCATGCAACTTCAGTTAAAATTTTTTTATTCCTGTTTGCATTAGTGTCCAATAGACACCAGGAAGCAGTTGGCAGAGAACTTGGTAGTTATTGGTGGCACGGCTATGTTGCCAGGATTCCTTCACAGGCTCATGGCTGAAATCAGATACCTGATAGAGAAACCAAAATACAAAGAAGCACTTGCCACTAAAACCTTCAGAATTCACACTCCACCTGCCAAACCCAACTGCGTGGCCTGGCTGGGAGGTAAGAATGAAAACAACCGTTAAGCAAAGGTACAAAGTGAAAAACAAATCTCCCAAGTGGGATTTGTAATGAATAAATAGCAGTAAAAATGAGGTGAACTGCTGAAATCAAGCTGTCTTTGAGCTCTGTGGAATTGTTATGCCCTCCTGGAAGAAGCTGTGTGGAGTAAAGCTCCCTCAGGGACATTTGGTGGGCAGAATGGCACTGCAGGTTATGGGAGCTTTAAACAGGCGACGGGCAATTTGAAACAGAGATGTGGAAGATGTGGTGTTGACTCAAGTGCAGTACAGGGCTACTGCCATATGGTGGCACCAGTAAAGTAATTAGGCAGAGCAGAGACCTGCTGCGTGTAGGAAGATCTGCTTATTGAAAAAACAGGTTTAATTACTGACTGAGGAGCTGTGAGCTATGGAGAGGCCGGAGGCTGTTGACTCCCTGTGCTGTTCACAAGTGCCAATAACAAATACAGCAATTCTGCAATGGATTTTGGCTGCTGTTAGGGAAAAAGAAGGGCTTTCTGTTGCTAGCAACTCTTTCAAGGAAGGTTCTGAGGTTGATAAGAATTCATGCTTTTCTAAGCTTTCAGTTAATAAGCTGAGCCCATCTGGTATCTATGAGGAACTAACTTTAACTGTAAAGGTAGATTTTAGTTCCATGTGCTTTGAAACGTAAATGTACAATATTTTAGTTTTAAAACCTTTTGAGTCTACTTTTAGGATTAGAAAACAAGAATGATTTATATGCACCAAGTTCTCTGATACTTTTCTTCACTGGGAGTGCTAGTCAGCTGCTGTGGTCTGAATCTTCTCACAGCTTGCGTAAACTTCTTATGGGTATTGTGTGACACTCTTTTTGAGGAGAGTAAATTTCCTTCAACACAAGGTGGTTTGTTTGAAGTGCTTAAAAGTCAAAATGTATAGGAAATTTTGTCATAAGAAGCAGGTCAGCTAAGCCAGTTTTGTTCTCAGGAGAGACTAGATGATTCTTTACTTTCAGTTACTTTCAAGGGACATAAATTGAAGCAGTCAGGGACTAGCTGGGCTACTGAAAAGGAGTGGCTAGATCCTTTTGTTCCTTTAATTTTTGGGACAGAGCTGAAAAAGAATAGTTGAGATTTTTGATGGGAAGAAGTAGAAAAAGAAATTCAATGCATCAAATTAATGCAACATTTTTTTTTTTCCCCCCAATAATGTAGGAGCCATTTTTGGAGCACTTCAGGACATACTTGGGAGCCGGTCTGTGTCCAAAGAATATTACAGCCAGACAGGCCGCATACCTGACTGGTGTTGTCTTAATAATCCTCCGCTGGAAATGATGTTTGATGTTGGAAAAGCACCCCCGCCATTAATGAAGAGGGCTTTTTCTACTGAGAAATAAGCACCTAAATGCTACACAAGGATTCTACTCATCTGTTTCAAGTAGATATATATGCATTGGCTTTTTTTTTATTAAGTAATTTGTGTGTAACACTATTAAATATGAACCATGTGGATGTTTTGGGGGGAGTATGGTAGTAGGTACTAACACTATTTAAAACCACATCCAGTTACAGTTTAAAAACTTAACTCTGGCAACCACTATGCTATTTTGTCCACTTCTGAAGAAATTCTGTACCGTCATGAGTTGCAACATACAAAGTTGTTTGTTATTTATCTGTATAGTAAATGGCACTGCTGAGAGAATTTGTTTTAAGATATTTTGTTTTTAAATATGTCTAGAAGAATGAAGGACAGTCTACTATGGGAAACATCTATGGAAGCTTTTTTGCCAAATTCTGTATTAAACTATTCCACCCTTGAATCACATGTGAGGAAATTATTTGGGGCTGTTTAGCAAAGGTGCTTGAGCAGTATCTCCCCTGGACACGGTCCTGTTTTGAGAGTTTTAGCAGATAACTCTTCTGCCTGTAATTCTCAAATAGTGCTGAGCTAACAACTCTCCCAGTATCTCTGCTCCAAGAAAGAATTCAACTGTGTGAGAATTATAAACAGGGGTGTGAGGAAACCTCGAATCTCTGACTGAAGTGACAAGTTCAAAAGTCACTTCTTTGCCTTCCTTCTCCCCATCAGAAATACTAAACTTCATTGTCCCGCAACGGTATGTATTAAATGAAAACGCAATACAAAGTTCTCTGCTTAAGAAGAAAAATGTGCATTTGGATATTAACACTATATTTAGGGATTGCTGACTAGTTAATAGGCTTTTAGCAATGCTGTAACTTTACATATTGAAGGAGAAGGAGCACTCCTGTGGGAAAACAAACACATACACTTCCATTCTGCTGCTAGTGCTGCTGGTTTTGGTTTGTCATGATTCTCACCATCCTTCCATAATACTGCTGTGAATTAGCTTTGCACACAGATCTGTGGCTCCTGGTGGGCACTCCAGCCAGTGCATCTCAGCAGCATTGCATCTTGAGAGAGGGGTTTCCCCTGGCCTCAACTACTGCTAAACTTGCTGCCAATGTGCCAAACTTGACTTGCTGGCTAAATGGTGACTCTGCTGGTATCTGTTGGGTGCTGAGGTTTAAATCCTACTCTAAGGAGTAATTGTTTATCTCGGATTTGGGGAGATAGATACATATAAAATTATTGGGGGTGGTGGAGTCTTGTATTGCCACAAACATGTTTTTTGTGACTGATTGCCCTGTGCTGTCTGCTAACTGCCTGCTGTGCTTCCTGAAGCACGTTTCTTGAAGTTAAGCATACATTTAAAGAAACGTTCTTGTGGTGAAACTTAACACAGGGCAATGTGCTACAGCATTTAAGTAAACTTCTGCATGATTTTGTTGTTCTGTTTTGTGTATGCTTTACCTTAACATATGGTGTTAGTTGGCATATGGTAGACTATACTCAGTTTTTATCTTAATGGTTTTCAAATTAAAAAAAAAAACAACCACAAAATATGGGAATTGCTGCTTAAAGTGTTAGAGTCTGTCATAGGCGAGACTTTGCTGGTTGGTAATAGTGGTCTGATAGTATTAACATGGATGATTTATCTCTCAAGGTGCTGGTGGGTGTATTTTTAAGTTGCCGCCTTCTTACTTCAAATGAGCTGCATGGCTGTTACACAGAAACCATAGAAAAATAGGCAGGCGTGGCTCTGAGTAGTTGTTAATGGTTGTTTTATAGTCCTGGGACGAGGTTGATCTTTTAGAGATCATTTCTCAGTCCTCAAAGCAGGATAGGGCCTGGCCAGTGCCTCTTTGCACAGATGTGAGAGTCTCCAGTCCAAGCACTTTCTGGGTTTCCAGGTCAAACAAGTTGCAATTACCACCATGCACAGGAGCTTTTCTGAGGCAGCCTGAGGATGAGAATGGTATGCAGTGACACAGAAACAGGTTCTTCAAAACGTACTGTGTTGCGTTCTGTCTGTCAGGTCTGGACTTGGAAAAATGGATTAACCGCTATAGCCAGATACCTCTATTCCCATTGCATCTGGTATTTTGCATTCTTTTACATCTTAGGGTTCTTCTCTTGCTTGATTGCTTCTGTAAGCCTACGATTAATGGTTTAATATGCTTGGGGATGTTCATTCCCCAGCAGATTCCTCAAATACCAGCATTCCCCTTGGTTTTTTTGAGTGTTCAGGACCTTCACTGTGTGCTTGTTCCCCCTTACCAATTCTTTTTTATCTCCCCTGCAGCGAGACCGAGAACAACAGGGTTGCATGCAAGTCAAGAGTGTCCCCTTGAGCCGGGCCCCGCTATGCAGTTCGCTGCTCAGCTGCACTACCCCGCCACAGCCTCTCTCCCAAGGCATAACACCTACGGGGCTGGGCAGGAGACTCGAGGATCCAACTGCTTCTGGCAAGAAAACCTGTGGGTGAGGTCTGGTTCTCCTCACAGGGCAGAACAGGGGAGGAGGGATGGAGTCCAATAGTGCACGAGGTTGACCCCTCTGGAGCAGTTTTTGGCAAGGATTGGGGATATCAGTAGTTTTCTGAGTGGCTTCAGAAAGTATGTATGATTGCAACAGTTATGCTTAATAAAGCAAAATGGATAAAACTGCAGGTTTTGGAGGCCGGCCTGCTACATCCCTGTTCTTAACTTGTTCCCAATCTGTGACGCGATTACAGGTTCGTTAAATAGACGCTATTTCATTGCAAAGTGCAGAGAGCTGTCCTTAGGCCTGGGTAAAGAACATTCAGACCTGAGCTCTGCTGCTCATTTTCATTTATAATGTGAATAACTGGGATGCAGCTCCGTGACCTAGATTGTGTCTTGCCTCAGTAAGAAGTGAGCCAGAGCCTACCGAGGCTTGCTCCTGAAAGAAGAGTTTGCCATCGGCACGAGTCCCATGGAGCTGGGAGGGATTACTCATGCCCCTAAGTAGTTCTCAGTGGGAAGGATACGCAGGGGAGATTAAACTCCTACAGAGCCTGTGTTCGTGGTGGTGCAATGATGTCATTTTCTGAACTGCAGCAGACTGCGGCTGAGGAAATTCAGAGTATTCTTAGCCCTTCCCTTTTCAGGGGTATTTCTGTACTGCTGTGCTTGTGTGCTCTGGGACCTTTCACAAGCCCGGCATGTTCTGCCACCTCATCTTCGTTCTGCCCACTCTAATCTTCTCCTGTGGGCTTTCTGCATCGCTGAACAGCTTCAACAGCTGCTCTTTCACACTGCACGACCAGAAATCCTAACTCCTATGTTCCTGGCAGGTTTAAGCGCAGTCCCATGACCGGTTCAGGACAGAAACAGGATTCTTATTTCATCAAAGGGGTGCGGAAAGAGTTATTACCTGCTTTTCAGAATTACTAGCCGTGGAAAGCCCTTAGAGATCACACCTTAAATGTGTTATTGTGTAGAGAAGGATTTGGCTTATTTTTTTTTCAGCTGAAATGTTGTTGTAGTTCTCTCCCTGGCATGACAGGGATCTGTGGATCCTTGCAGGAGGCAAATTTGCAGTGAACTCAACTGTTTTATCAGGAAGGACAGTGACAGACACAAACCCCTGCAGTAACTGGAGGTTTTCCTCTGAAGTTCCTGATTCTGAACTGGATGCCGTTCCTGAAGGTTGGTGTTAGCCAGCTGCAAACAACTCCAGCCGAGCTGACTCCTGCTGACAGGAGGAATATTTTGGAATGTTCATGAGCATGGCCCGTGGCAGTCTGCCTCGTGTCTGTGCTGTGTCTGTGGGAGCTGATCTCTGGGGCAGGGGGCTTTAACTCATTCCCCTCATCTCCTTTTTCATAGAATCATAGAATATCTCAAGTTGGAAGGGACCCATAAGGATCATTGAGTTCAACTCCCTGCTCCTCGCAGGACTACATAAACTAAATCATATAATTAAGAGCATCATCCAGGTGCTCCTTGAACTCTGACAGGCTTGGTGCTGTGACCGCTTCTCTGGGGAGCCTGTTCCGGTGACCGACCACCCTCTTAGGGAAGAATCTTTTTCTAATGTGCAGTCTGAATTTCCCCTCATGCAGCTTCAGCCCGTTTCCTCGTGTCCTGTCCTGGTCACCGGAGAGAGATCAGCACATCCCCCCTCATCTGACCCTCTTGAGGAAGTTGTAGGCTGTGATGAGGTCACCCCTCGGTGATGAGGTCACCCCTCAGCCTTCTCTTCTCTGAGCTGAACAAGCCACCTGACCTCAGCCGCTCCTCCTACGTCTTGCCCTCCAGGCCATTCACCATCTTGGTCACCCTCCTCTGGACACGCTCTAAGCGTCCAACGTCCTTCTTATACCGAGGTGCTCACAACTGCACCCAGCACTGGAGGTGGGGCCGCACCAGTGCGGGGTGGACTGGGACAGTGCCCTCCCTCCACTGGCCAGTGATGCTGTGCTGGATGCACCCCAGGCCGTGGTCGGCCCTTCGGGCTGCCGGGGCACGCCGTTGACTCGTATTCAACTTTGCTATCAACCCAAACCCCCGGGTCTCCTTCGGCAGGGCTGTTCCCCAGCCTCTCGTCCCCCGGTTTTACATATAACCGGGATTACCCCATCCCGGGTGGAGAATCCCGTGCTTGCCCTCGTTAAATTTTGTACGGCTGGTGATTGCCCAGCTCTCTAGACCCTCCAGATCTCTGTGTAAGGCCTCTCTACCCTCGAGGGAGTCCACAGCTACTCCTGCTTTATTAATGTACATTTGGTTCCTGCAACCAGATAATTCATAAAAACATAAAACTTTTTTTTTTTTTCAGCAGCACAGCATTTATTACAGTCACTGCCAAAATTATGCACATCTATGGCTGCACCAGGGACGTTTGCTTCAGGAGTCTCTCTGGTCCCTCCGGAGCTTGGCGGGGCGGGGGTGAGTTCCCCTCAGTGTCGCGGAGCCGGACGGGGCAGATAAAAAAATTGGGGAGGAATGCACAAAAGCTAGACGCCCAACGTGGGGCTCGAACCCACGACCCTGGGATTAAGAGTCCCATGCTCTACCGACTGAGCTAGCCGGGCGCTTGTTGTTGATTTCCCGCCACGTGCCCTTCACCATATGACGCGCTGATGTCAGCCCCGCCCCGCCCCGCCGGCTCCGAGAAGCGCTAAGAGAACGGCGGACGGCACCGATTGGCCGCTGCGAGGGCCAATGGGAACGCGTGTTGTTGGGCGGTCGGGAGCGTGAGCGCGGCCCGGGCAGGAGTTGTGTGTGTGTGTGGGGGGGAGCTCCGTCCGGCCGTGGCTGAGGGCGCCGCCGCCGCCATGAGCTCCATCGGTACCGGGGTGAGTGCGGCCCGGCCCGTGGGGTCCGGCGGTGAGGGGCGGCCTGTCGGTTCGGCCTCCTCGGGGTCCGGGCCCGGGCCGGAGCCGCTGCTGAGTCACTGCGGCCCGTTAGGGCGAGGAAACGGCGGGGAGCGGGGCCGGGGCGGCCGGGAGTGCCGCTGTGTGCCCGCTCTGTTCCGCACTCGGGGTTACGGTACAGGTCCGGGGGGGGGTCTGGGCGAGCCGCCTTGGTGGCCCTGGGGCCGGCCGTCACCTAGGGCCTGCCGCCTGCGAGCCCCGGCCTGCTGCCGCCTTCCCCCGCGGGCGTGGGCTCCTTCGGGGGGGAGGAGGGTGTGGGGAGGGCGGCTGCGTGTTTGCGTTTGGCCGCGGGTCCCTCGGCAGGAGGTGGCGGAGATCCTGCGCTCTCCTGCCTCTGGTCCTCAGCCACAGCTCTGCACTCTGTGCGGTGCTGAGCCTGCGGGGAGGGAGCCCGCCTCTGGGCTTTTAAGTACTTCAGATGTATTCCTGTTAATAAACACCCATGATTTCAAAAATTATGAAATAAATTTGAAAAGCACACAGAACGTTCCCGTAGGTTTTGAGGTTTGTGTAATGCACAGTGATTTCAGACCTGTGCAATGTCTGGATTGGTGGGGTTTGAAGTGTGGGTATATCCAGCGCTGATGCGATGACTTCTTGTAGTTGTTAGTGTTCACTTGCATCATTTGTTCGTGCGTCTTATGTAAGGGGCCAGCCTGCTTCTGGTGTTTCATAGCCATCGGGTGTCATGTGGGTGACAGTCTTGCATTTTTAAATAACTAGACTGCTGAAAATACTGGGATATAACTTTTTTTTCCTGAGTAGTGTGTTTTCTTCTTCAGTACGACCTGTCAGCTTCCACGTTTTCTCCAGATGGCAGAGTATTTCAAGTTGAATATGCTATGAAAGCTGTGGAGAATAGTAGGTAAGATACAAATATCTGCATCTCTATGTTTGTTGGCCACTTTTAAAGCAGTGTGGTTGGACTAGACAAGCATGATGGCATTGCGGATAGAATTGTGGTGTTAAAATTAGTTCCCAGCAACTGTCTCCCTAGGCTCATTTTAGGAGACTTCCAATTAAGTGTAGAAGTAGTATAATCACTTTCGCTTACTAGAAGTCACTTTTCATGTTTGCTAGGAATCACTTTTGCTTGCTAGAAACAGATGTGTTGTGGAGAGTGCACAGGAAGCCAGTAAACTTACTCATGTGTGTTAAGGGCAATAAAAATTCTATGCTTTGGGGCAAAATCTGATTGCAGGTCTCATTACTGCGTGTGAGGTGCTTAGCTGTTACGGTAGTAGAGCTGCTGTAGGAGTATCTAAAAGCCTATTTTATGGATGTGAATTGAGGCACTGAAAGACTGACATGCTCAGGGCCTCATAAATTTGTAACAACTTTATATGTATTCCTCAAGAAACTGAGGACATCCGAGTTCTGCTAAAGCTACATCAGCTTCTCTGCGAGTATCTGTCTTCCCTCAAGTATACACAAAGGAATGCTGTAAAGTGGAAATCCCAACTGCGCACTAGTGGCAGCAAGAGGATTGATTAGCAAGGCATGGACTGGATCACGCAAGTGTCTGATCGTAGCCACATGCTGCCAAATAAGGATCAGTGAAAGTATTTTGTGTCATGGTTCATGCCATGGTTGGTAATTTATGCCTGATGATGCACTTTTTGAGGGTTAGAGAAAAAGTTGTTGCATCTCCTAGATTAACAGTGAATTTACCAAAAGGAGAGGTTTAACAGTCCGTGGCTTTCATACTAGTATCCTTCAGCTTGGTGACAGGGCAGCAGCTGTGCCATCACTCCAAACAATGTCACCTCTGCATCTAGTCTGTTCAAAACTATTTGGGTCGGAACTTTTGGCACCCCCCTCCTCCTTTATTTAAGAAAATGTTTGTAGGTTCAGTGAGCTTTGGCTTTTCCCCCCCTTGTCTTTAATGCTAAAGTGGAGCTGTAAGAAATCTACTACTGGGGAAATTATGTCATTGTTTCTTGTATTTTGTTAATTCTCTGTTACATATTTTACACTACAGTTCTGTTTCTGTGTGAGAAACTTAATTTATCTTGTCTTTCAGTACAGCAATTGGGATAAGATGCAAAGATGGTGTTGTCTTTGGAGTAGAAAAACTAGTTTTGTCCAAGCTTTATGAAGAGGGTTCCAATAAACGTCTCTTCAATGTCGATCGACATGTTGGAATGGTGAGGTGCTATTTAATATTTGTTTTTCATAAATTGAAAGGGACCCCCCTCAAAAGTAGAAATCTATGAATTGAAGAATCAATGAGAAGTGGATTAAGAAAGCAATGTTAATGTTTCTGTGTACAGAGTCAGAAATGCCAGCGTGGTTTTTTTTACTGTTTTCTGTAATTTATTCTTGATTGCACACATGTATATAAGTAAAACCCAAATTTAAAATGGAAGATATACATATTTTGAGGCTGTTTTAAATTTTTTTAAATGCTTTTCAGCATTCCAGTTGTTCAAACTTGAATGTAAATATAAATACAAGTGTTAAAGTGATAATTTTTTACACAGTTAACAAATAAGGTGTGTTAAGGGGAAAAGATGCCGCATACAAGATTCTCTTCTCAACAGTGTGGGAATCAGCTGAATTCTTTAAAGACTTGTGTATGGATTACTGGCTAATCCATAGTAGTGATATCGGGATGATATCAAGTGGTTGTTAACTGTGTGACAGAAATGCCTGAAACTAGCTGTCAAATCTATATTATATGAAGTATTGTTTGGGTTAGTGTAGTCATGGCAAATCATAAGACACTATTTAACATGAAGATAATTTTGGTTATTGATTTTCCTAGAGAAAAAATTCTTTTCTGTATTAATACATAATCATATTGACATGTTTCAAGCTTGTTAGCAGATGGCCAGTTGGATTGAATTCGCTTGTAGTGGTACACAGAATTCAGTAAATATCTCGGTTGAGTCACATAATTAGACTTTTGTTCATTAATTTTATTAAGTTATTGCAAGGTGTGTTTAGCCTAGCTGATGACAGTTCTCATTTCAGGCAGTAGCAGGACTTCTGGCAGATGCTCGTTCTTTGGCAGACATAGCTAGAGAAGAGGCTTCTAACTTTAGATCCAACTATGGCTATGATATTCCACTGAAGGTAAGAAATGGGTGCAGTTCACTCAGATTTTTTGGCTTTCTCGGTCTTGACACGGAGAATTAAATTTTATTACTTGAGGTTTACTTATTTCTGTAAAGAAGCATTTCCAATGTTCTTTTTCTTTTTCTGCTTAGCATCTTGCGGACAGAGTGGCTATGTATGTGCATGCATACACACTATACAGTGCTGTCAGACCTTTTGGTTGCAGGTAAGTCTTTCAAACATACCCATATTTGTAAGGATCCTTTGTTTCACAATTGCTGGAGTTATTTAGGTTGTCTAAAGTCTTTTTTTAAACTTGGAATTAGTAACCTACAAATCATCTCGTAAACAGATTCCCTTCCCTTTTTTTGTGTGTGTAAAACCTTAGGTGAAGAACTCAGATTTGCATAAGAGTATGCCAAGCCTCTATACAGGTTGCCAGTTTGTGCTCAAATTTTGAAGTTGAGGAGTTGATGCTATTAGATCTGTTGCAGTGGCGAAAGCAGAACTTTCCTCTGCAATCATCCTGCTTGCCCTGGCAGCTAAAGAGTAGGTTACAACTACTGTGCAGTTATAGTACAAAGGGACTAATAAAGGGAGATCTGCTGTCTAGTTACAGATAAGTAAAATGTTTCTGGCAGCTTGCAGGTGCTGGGCTCTCATGATAATATAATGTAGCAGGACAGTAGGAGTTTTGCTACAGGAAGAACATAGGGAACCTGAGGTGGTGTAGTCTCTGTAATTCTGTGTGGGCTGGTAGAAGAAATGTTTCTAATTCTACTTTTCTCATCCAGTTTCATGTTGGGGTCCTATGATGATGATGATGGTGCACAACTGTACATGATTGATCCATCAGGAGTTTCATACGTGAGTGTGTCAAAAATAATTCCATCTTGGCCTAAGTTCCCCTTTTAAAAGTTCCTTGTTGGGAAAATATTAAGTGTCGTTCCAAAAGAGCTGTTAATTTTTTCTCTTTTTGCCTGGGAAGATCTCTGGTGAATCACAGCTTAAAATGAACAGAGCTGGGTTTTGCTCGTTTGCGTGTTCTTGTTAAACACACGTTGTTTATTTCTTGGAAGTACAGTCTCTGAGAAACTAATTTAAAGCTTGTCTCTCAGAAATTTGGGAGTTCATTCCACCTGGCTATATCCAATGAAAAGTCCCATGCGCTGCCCCAAAAGGGCAAGTTTTGTAGTGATACCCCATTCACTACGTACTTTGGGTAAGAGAGAGCTTCAGATGAGAGGGCTGCTACTCTGACACTGGCTGCTAACAAGAAGTCAAATCAAAATAGATACTTTTGTTAATTGTTGTTAGTGCTGCCTCTTCGGCTGTGTATTACACACAGGATGATACACACTCACACTGTTCTGATTTTTTTCATTTTCTTTCAATATATCCAATACCATAACTGTTGAGGGAAATAGAAGTGCTTAATTTTTATGTGCTTATACTTCAACATGTTTTCATGGTAGGTGGGTTTGGGTTTTTTGATCCTGTAGAACTATAGCATTCTAGTTTTCGATTTACCGTAATAACAATTAAAAAAAATTACCTATTGCAACAAATTGAGCAGAAACACCGTCCAGGAACTACTGAGCACTTCTCTTTTCTATCAACAGTGGTAGTACTTAATCTTCTAATTAGGTTCTATTCAACAATTTGGGAATGTGCCCCAAGAGAGAACAATACCAAGGTTTACTGGGTATAGCTGCCTCACTGTGTGAGTAGGGTGGGGGTTGTCATATGCTAAGTGACAGTAAGAACTGTAGAGGGCTTAGTATTTAATGAAATTTGTGTATTTTTTGTTTCTTTTTTTTTTTTTTCCAGGGTTATTGGGGGTGTGCCATTGGTAAAGCCAGGCAGGCTGCAAAAACAGAGATAGAAAAGCTTCAGGTATGATGTTACAGTTTTGTTGTGCTGTTTCAAGACAAATGCTTCTAGCTTATTACGTTACCTTTTTGGATGCCTAGAATATGTAAAGTACAGGAGAAGCAGATGGAGTATTTTCTTGTACACTGTAGGAGATGTTTTAGCCTCTATAATAGAAGTATTTCTCAAGTCTTGCCCCTGGCAATGGGTAATCCGTAGGGAGTGCACATGTTTAAAATGGGAAGCATAAACATACGCTCCCATGCATGCCAGCAAGCAAAGTCATTGAGTGAATATGAAAGTGTAACTAAGTTTTTCATTCTGAATTGCAACCTTAGGGCAGCATTGTACAGGGTGGTATATGTATTTCTTCCAAAGGTTTTAGATGATCCTTGTATTTTAAAAGTTGAAAAAAGCTGGTCTTGTTAAGGACAATGAGTGGAACTGCAGAATGCTGAACCACTGGAATGTTATGACTCTGAAAATGTAATGGAGAAAAATAAAATCCTTGCCGGGTAAGATAGTGTTCGTAGCTTGCTGTTACTGAGTGTAATACACCTTTCAAAACATCTTTACATGTCTGGTGAAAAGGACTTAGTGCTTTGAACACTAGGAAGAGTACAACTATACAGCACACCATCACTGATACCAAAAAGAGCTGTTTCTGTTCAGCATTTCCTGCTTGCACAATATTATACCTTCTGAAGCGTTACAGGAAAGTTCTGCAAGTGCACACCAAGAAGTTGTTTTGTAGCCTTCTGAAGAAGCCTGCAAGCAGTTGCCAGTGTAAAACTTGTCTGAGGGGAGAAGACTACTGAAATGTACTGAATTGTGCCTTAAGCTGATTTAGAATTATGTTAGAATCCGAAAAGACATCTGTCCTTCTCTTGTGTTTTAATGTCTGACCCCCTTGGAATTGGAGACAGTTAACATGGGACAACCCTGGTCTGTCTCATATAATTATTCTTTAGTACTCTGCTAGCATCTTATTTATGGTTTTGGTCTGCAGAAGTAGATCACAGCTGTTTGTGGAAAGGTTCACAGTTAATGTGGTTGTCACGCTTTCAAGAACAGTCTGTTGATGGTGCTGTAGCATCATAACTGAAAAATGACAGGAAGAATTACCATGTTCCTAGGCTTGCTTGATTCAGTCTTGAATCTGGTCAGATGCTTGAATACCAAATCAGAGGTAGGAAGCCTACAACATCATCTGATCTTGATACAGGAATCTTGGCATCTGAAAAATCGTAATTTCAATTGCCATGTGTGCAAATTGGCAGAAAGATAATGTTGGGTAATATATAATCTACCTCAAAAATTTCATTTTCTGTGCAGTACTGGGATTTTCAAAAACTTGTTTTATTGACTGAGTTTTTGTACAGCTAATAAGGGTGTGTATTGCTTGAATTTTACAGTAGAGCTGGTAAAATTTAGTACATGGGAACAGTGGTGTGCCTTATAGCCTACCTGCATTTATTTAATGGCTTGTTTGCAGAATGTCTTCAGTAATGCGTATGATCTTGTCACAGCAATGTGAAGCAAGTCCAGTCTTGCATGCCGATGCTTTTTGTTAACCGTAGACTGGGCAGGTTTCCAGGTCAGAGTTAATTGTGAAGAGGTGAATTTGTCAAAACTGAAATGGGAAAAAGACAGAAGTGCAAAAGCTTTTGTGGGGTGATACCACCTACATTAGCCTGTCAACTAAGACTTGTTCCTGTGGAAGAGATGACTACAGGTGTAAAGTAAGAGGCATGCAGATAGTCAGAACTTTAAACCTGCCTTACAGGTACTGCAGAGCAGATACTGTATCTGGCGGGGGGGCACAGTATGTGAAACCCTCATATGTAGCTGAGGGTGCAAGCAGAAAACACTGCATTGATCTGTTGCATCTTATACGAATGTCTGATAATCTTCAGCTGTGGGAAAACTTGTAGTCATGTGGAGAGTACTTGAATCTCTTGGTCTCTTCTACAGTGCTTCTCATGCAGCTCTGATGCTACGTACAACTCTTTGATATATGGACATAATCGTAATTAATTCCTGTGATAAACTGTTAGTGTTTACTCTTATTGTCTGCAGAATTAACATACCTGGGATGGGAAAAGGATAACGGCAAAAAATAAATTTATTTCGCTTTTCTCTTTTGTAAATATGCATGACAGTAGCAGACCAGTGAGTTTTCCTATTTGACTACTAACTTCATATGCATCAATATGCACAGCACTTTAAATGTTTGTGCGACCCAAGTTATATTTGCACGTGGCAGCCAGTGCTGTGTGTGTTACGGATCGAGTGTCACAAATGAACACTGGGGCAATGGGTCTCTGTCTGTTCGGGAAGCTCCTTGGGATGGGACTGTGATGGCATGTCTGTCTAACCAGGCATGGGCATTTCTTCTCTGGCCCATTGCTTCCCTGGGGGTGTGCTTTACCCCAGAGAGTGCTGTGACACTCAACATGAACAAAGGACTGTTGTTGTCTTAATTCCTTTACTACTGTCTCAAAACTAGCTTCTGTACTACGGCTTTGAAAACATTTTGAGAATTGGACAGAGATGGTAAAATACAATAATTAATGGATTACATTCTGAGCTCAGTGTAAATAAAGGGGAAAGAAAGAAACAACTTATTTTGAACTTGAAAATCATTTTATGCTAGGGAAAGTGTCAGTATAATGTGTAATGCATTGAACTGTATTTTGTGACTGACGTCCCATTGGTTCCAATGAATAATGACAGGTGCCTTTTTGCGAGAGCAGTATCAAAGGCTGATGTCTATCTGGTTTGTGCAAATGAAACCTTGAGAAAAGAAATGAGGCTAATCTTGTTTCAACCCTGCATTAATGAAATACAGTAGAATGTATTACTACTTCATACTCCAGAAGAGTTGACTGGCAAAAGATTTGACCTATAAACCATAAGTTTATTATGTCATGGAAACTGGCATGAGACTTTGTTTTGATTAACTGTGAAACTGTTGAAAGACTGTGATATAACAGTGAGAAAATAGAAAATGAGACGCTGGTAACAACCAGCTGCATGCCTGAGCAAGGTAACACTGGAACAATATTCTCCATGTAGGGCATTGCTTAAAAGTCAGAATTGCTTGCAGAAAATATTGGTAAGACCGAAAGTATTACTATACTACCTAGAAAGAATATGAATATTATACATGAAAATACAGTGCCTCCTCTGTATTGTACATGTGGTGATTTTATGTCAGTTGATCATAAAGCATCTAAGAACAAGTCAAGCTTTTACGATGCTAAGGTTTATCTGTTCAGCTCCTAAGCTTCCAGCTGATGAGTGCTTTAAACTTTCAGTTGTAAAATTCTTCACTGGAAGAATTACTTGCATATAGCAGGCTGAAAGACTCATCGTAGAGAATAAATTTAGTTCTTCTCTTAACTTTTTGTCACTTTTATCACTAGTGAACAGTAAGCTGATTAGGCATGCGTGCAGCCACTCATGTTCTGGCCTTGTGGAAATGGAAACCAGTATATTCTCTTAAGCTGTGTATTTTTTTGTCTACAGATGAAGGAAATGACCTGCCGTGATGTTGTTAAAGAGGTTGCGAAAATGTAAGTCTCCAACCTGTTTTTCCAGCTCAACAAAAATCTGTACTGGTGAGCTTGCTATAGTTTCAAACTGAAACTATTCCTTTTAAACTGGGTACCAGGTTTCATTTCTACTAGATGAGTGCTCATGCTAACTGTAGTATCTTCTGCTTTTAATATTTTTTCTCTTCTTGTGAGATGAGGTATGCTACTCAGTACTGAAAAATGCTGAAGGATGTGAGAAGTATGCCTTTTGATCTCATCTGCTACTTCTTACAGGTGCAACTTGTAGCACCCGTGGATTAAAGGTTACACTGTCTGAATACAGTCACTGGTTTTAAAATACATAAATCAGGTGACAGATGGGGGAAACTCCTTGGTGTCCTGATTCTGAAGAAAGAGCTGTACGCTTTGTTACACAGATTGAACAATGAACTGGTGCTTCGGACATTAAGTAGCAGTCCAGAAATGGAGCAGAGGTCTTTGACCCAGCCTTCCTATTTGCCTAAAAAAAGACTCAAGTGCTTAGGAAAGAAGCTAAGTATAACTCTTTGTTTAAAGATGTGTATAGGGTATAGCTGGTCTCATTTAAATGATAAAGCTTGATACCACATGAAAAGACTGGAAATATTTAATTTGCTATTTACTGATGCAATTTAGCAGAACACATCAATGATGTGATCGCCTGTAGTCACTAATGCTATCCCAATCCCACAAACTCTATGTGAGGATAGTGTATTTACAGGAAAAAAAAAAAGGTACCATTCAATAAGTCATGTACTAGAGAGGGGAAAAAAGGTACCAGGAAGAGAGAAGACTTTCTGCTAGGTAGAGCGTGAATTGGCCAGTAGTAAGCTACCTTGAAAATACTTTGTGAATTAGTATCTCTTCAAACAAATACAAGTATCCTTTCAGGTATCTACAATGCTTCATTTTAATGCATGTGTTCTGTGCTTGTCACAAAATTAATAACCTGCAGCTGCAAAATGGTAATCTCCAGTATTTTATGGCTATGGCTTAGAAGGATATAAGGAAGTAATAAATATGCTTCTGTCATTGGTGTTGCAGCATGTGAGTTTATTTCAGAGTTTGTGTCTGAGGCTGTCATGGCAGCAGCTACAGGAAAGAATTTGTGGGATCTCTCTTGTTGAAACCTAGCAAGGACCTCAAAGCAGTTCTAAAATGGCACAAATAAGTCACAGATTTTCAAATAATGAGAAGACTTCTGTTCTCTAATTCTGCCTCACCTCAAAACTTAACAGCAGCTCTAGATATAGTTCTGTTTTTCAGCTCAAATTCAGCTCCTTAGTAGTATTTAGCAAGGTTGCAAAGATTTTAATAATTTTTTAACCCTAAAATACTAGCTGGAGTCCAGAGTAATGATTTCTTCAAGAGCTTATAGTGGTATGCTTTATTGCAAAAGGCTTGTAAACAGCTGAACACATTAAGAAAGGCCTCTAGATCGTCTTAGGCAATGATCAGTAAAGTCCAGTCTAACAGTGACAGAAGGGTGTCAGAAGAACATAAGCATATAGTGACATTTCCCAGGACACCAATGTTAACTTTGTTCTTTATATTTGTTTCACAATACTTTTATCAAACTTTAATTGGAAGTACTTAGTGTGGTGCTGAAGGTATCCTTCCTTCCCCCACTATCTCCAAGTTTTCTATGTTGGCTAGAAATAGCTGGTATTTTTCAGCTTTTGTCTTACTAATGCTTTCTGAAACAAACTAAGGAATACAACCTTCTGAACAAGTGAATCCACAAGTTATTATATGTTCTACTATTGTTTTGAGTGTATGTCTGAACTCAGGGGTGTTACGGTTTGTTTACGTGTTGTGCCACTGAGGACTGAAAACTATGATGCAGTCAAATCAGTATTGCTATTATAGTGTAACATTTATCCCATGGACTAAGGAGTGATTTTACTATTCTGGATGGTACTGCATATGCTGTGATACCACTTTTAGCTTAAGTGCTGATTACCATCACGTTTGCCATAAGCATGGCAGTCTATATGGAGATCTATGTACAGGCTTCTAATTAGACACAAGATATTACAGTTCAGGGATTTAGTCTTAAGTGTAAATTGAAATAAGATTTACAGAAGAAATATAGGACACTCCTAACTGTATTGCAATGATGACATAGCCTTGGTTTTGCACTATTTGAATCTTAATGTTTGTTCTAATTAGGTGTCCTGGTTTTGGCTGGGATAGAGTTAATTTTCTTTCTAGTGGCTGGTGTAGTGTTATGTTTTGGGTTCAGTATGAGAAAAATGTTGATAACACACTGATGTTTTCAGTTATTGCTAAGTAGTGTTCATACTAAGTCAGGGATTTTTCAGCTTCTCATGCCCAGCCAGCAAGAAGGCTGGAGGGGCACAAGAAGTTGGGAGGGGACACAGCCAGGGCAGCTGACCCCAACTGGCCAAAGGAGTATTCCATACTGTGTGACGTCATGCCCAGTATATAAACTGGGGGGAGTTGGCCAGGGGTGGGTGAATCGCTGCTTGGGAACTAGCTGGGCATCGGTCGGTGAGTGGCGAGCAATTGCATTGTGCATCACTTGTTTTGTATATTCCAATGCTTTTATTATTATTGTCATTTTATTATTGTTATCATTATTATTTTCTTCCTTTCTGTTCTATTAAACTGTTCTTAACTCATAAGTTTTACCTTTTTCCTTCCAATTCTCTCCCCCATCTCACTGGGGTGGGTGGGGGAGTGAGTGAGTAGCTGTGCGGTGCTTAGTTGCTGGCTGGGGTTAAACCATGACATTAGGATAACTGGAACATCTCAACCTGCATCTTAACTGTAATCATTTAATCTGGTGTTATACTAGCAATTAAGCCTGGAAAATTCTCTCGTGGTTTTTTTGTGTGTGTGTGTGGGCAGGAGAGAAAGCATGGGGAGAGTACTTCAACAGAAGAAATCCGTGAAAGGAAGAAAGTATATTTAGCCTATTGATCAATCTGTTCTAATCTGTACTTTCTCTGTTCCTTCCAGAATCTACATAGTTCATGATGAAGTAAAGGATAAAGCTTTTGAGCTGGAACTCAGCTGGGTTGGAGAAAGTAATGCACTTCTGTAATTTCTATAAACACTATAAAAAATTTATAACTTTCTGTAACTAAAGTAAAACATTGATTCTTAACTTCACTCTGTATGTTAAGGTCTTTGTGTGAATTCCACTTAAGATGTACTCTTTTTATTGGCAGTAACCAATGGAAAACATGAAATTGTTCCCAAAGACATCAGGGAAGAAGCAGAGAAATATGCCAAGGTAAGGTCTGATTTTGGTGTCATCTCAGTGCTCCACTTGACAGGCACGTCTAGAGCACAGGGAACTAACTGAAGGTTAGGCTTCTACTGTTGTGATGACTGGAATATGTGTAGTTACATGTATCACTTCAGTGTTAGCTGATGTTATTCTGAAGGGAGAAGAGCAAAGTTTACGGCATAATCCAGTGTTAGTTTTCTTTCAAGAACAGTGTAATTCAGCAGGCTTGCACAGGTGGCGTGCTTCTTCAGAAGTAACTGTATTAACTTTTCAACAGTGGGTATGAGTGAGTAGGAGAGGTAGTAAGTCATGTTGCCTAGAACAGTTTTTAAAGATAACCAGCTGGAGAAAGTTAGACTTCCAGCATTTAACAGCTTTGCTTTTGTTCTAAAAGTAATGATGGTGCTCAGTATTACCTCCTAAAGATATGAACTAGCCTGCTGAATACAAGGCTTTGGACAGATTGAGAGGATTGTGAAACTACAGCAAAACTCATTTTGCTTATTATAGGCTGAATTATAAAACAACTGTTAAGATATTTTTTTAATTAAACTTTTTTTTAAAATAGGAATCTTTGAAAGAGGAAGATGAATCAGACGATGACAATATGTAACACATTGTTACTTCAAGACAAGTTCAACTTTTCTTAACTTAGAACAGGTTTGTTTATAATGTATTAAGCATGGGATGCTACTATGTATTTGCTGGAAGAAACTGAGTGACCAACTTGCACTAATAAATTTTCCATTTTACTGTCCATTAGCTTTTATTTCAAAAGAGTATAGGCCAGCATCATTAAGAAGCAACTGTACTCTGTATCAAAACAGACATTAAGAAGGAAAGATATTATCAGGCTGGTGTTGCTGCTGCTTACTACAGCATTCCATCTGACCCAGGCCAGGTACAGAAAAACAATCTGCTTAAAAATTTGACAAGTCTTTTGTTTATACTGCAGAGTTTAATATTAAAAACTAGTACTTGGTTATTCCTTGGTTAAGCAGTATCACGATTTGCAGTTCCTTTGTAGTGACAGTCTGTGATGTCTCTTGGCAGAAAAGATAAGAACAGACCTAAGTGTAAAACAGCTGTTTACAGTTTTAAGGTGATGTGCACAGCTGATGGCTCCAAACAGCCTATATAACAAGCAAGAGTTCATGAAAAGGAATTCTAATCAGAAGTATTAAACCTAGGCTTATTTGAAGAGTAGGAGAAATTAAAAATGAATTCAGTTTAAAATAGTCCTTGTGTTAAGTTCTAAAGCTGAGATCTATTAAGCAATGTATCTGGAATTAATGCTTGAAGAGCTAAACTATTTCTAAACAGCTTCATTCAGGTTTAGTTTCTGAAACAGCTTTATCACCTGTTGACCTTTCTAGGAGCTGAAAACAAGCTTTCCTGCTTTCTTTCCCCACTTCCTAGGAAAAAAGACTGTCTATTCTAGTCACTTCAAAGTCTTGAAAGACAAGGTAACAAACCATTCTGTTCACCACCTTAAAACTCAGTTAAAATTGAAGTCTTGTTTGTACATGCAGTTAAAATTCTATTGGTCATCTTAATCTGAAATGCATATTTTTCTGATGACTCAAACTCCTCAGCTTTAGTACTACATGCTAGTGATCACCAGCCCTTAAAACAAAAGCTTTCCCTTACAGGTTTGTGGGTTTTTTTTATACAGTTTTTTCCTTTTGAAAAAAACACCTGGCCTTCTACAGTCTCTTTTCTAATGGGATTACAAGATACAAGTTCTACCTCCTTGTTGTGACAAAGGAAAGTCACTAGAGATAGATGGGTCTGTCTTGGTACTTGGTGACTGTCTCAGGTTTAAGCCTTAGCTGCAGTCTAGCTACCTAACTCTTGCCTCTCCAGCTGAGCATAGCTTTCAAAGGCTGCTGGAACTCTCTCCATCGGGCCTGCCTGAGCCAACATTAACCATGACTGTGACAGGCAGCCTCTTCCAGTGTTTCCTCCTGAGGCAACAGTATAGCTGTTACACTGAGTCAGCCTTTAGTTCTGTGTTGCATTTCTCCAAACTGAATCTCCTACTGAAGTTTACTGCTGATTCAGCTGTTTGAGTCATTAGTGACTGCCAATCAGGAAACTCTTCAGCACTCTGAACATTAGCTGAGGGCTGACCTTTCCATCCTGCAGAGAGTCTACTTGATTCTCTTTGTCTTTATTCAACACCTGAAGTGTTGCTGACAAACTGCTAAATGGAAGTTAAAAGCTATCCATCCAATCCTTTCAGTGACAGCCATTCAGAATTAGGGACAGGAAGTATAAACAGTTACAGAAGTCAGGCTTCAGGGTTAAATGAGAAGAGCAAGAATAGTTGTATATATTTACAAGATAAAGTGGAAGGAAGATGTTCCACAGTATGTCAGAAGATACAGGCAGGAACAGAACCACCTACTTGCTTATTCAGAATTTCCAAGTTGCCATGGTCTCTAATAAGTAGCTATCTAAAAAGCTCCTTTGAAGAGCATGCTCCGATTTTTTGTTTGTTGTGGAAAGGCATAAAGTCCAGTGAGAAACAATTCAAGAGTATGTGCATTTTGCAGTGGGTAGTAGTACAGAACAGAGTGCTGCACAGCAGTCTTCCCTGTCATGGCAACATGTAGTTAAACAATACCAAGGTGACTATTACTGTCAAGTTCTTTTCCAAATTAAGTTATCAGAATGTAGGCTCAACCTGTTTGAGACTTGATCTTTACCTGTGGTAAGGAAAAAAAAATCCTATTACTTTCATTTCCATTAACTGCACATGGAGAAAGAGGAAAAATGAACATTAGAATGGGGGGGAAAAAATTGCATTGATTCAGTAGGGGGTGCAAGGAGGAAAAAAGCAGGAAAATACTAAATAAGCTGTTTTAGTATAGAAATTTCCCTTAACTTTACAAACAGAAAGCTAACAGGCTTCTATTTAATCTGAAATTAAGCATTGCTACCTTTTAACAATAAGGCCTAGGGAACACTGGAAAAGATTTCTAGTCCAGAAGGACTCTCATTTCAGCAGAAAGACTACTGCAAACTCCCCATTACAGCTATTTTTGTAGCCTTAACCTAGTTGCAGTTCCAACTGGGATAGCCGATGAGACAAACCACATTGCATTTAACAAGTAACTTACTAATTTGAAGCTAGTTACTTAAGAATACTTAATTATACATTTGTGCAGTAGCCATCAAAATGTTTCACTAAGTTAGTCCACACCTGATAGGCTAAATGCCAACTTTAATGAATTTTGCTACTGAGAGTTACTATTTACTTGTTCCTGTGTCAAAGAGTAGAAGTTGAGCAGCGGAAGAAATCTTCCAAAAAGAAGGAAGTGGTTTACACAGCTACTCATGGCAACACTGACCACATAAAGACTTAGAAATGCAGTGGGACATGACAGCATTGTTAAACTTTGATTAAATGTTGAAGACCATGTTTGTTTTTCTAAATCTATAGAGCTGTCTGAGGCAAATAATTTGGTGAAAGCTAAGCTCCAGAAGGGCTCAAGCTGGATCTGAGATTATTATTTAAGTGAGGACCAGATCTGTTACAGAACAAGAGAAAAGAATATTAAATCTCAAGAAAAAAAAAAGCGCTTACTTCTAGCAGAGGCTCTGTTGTAAGTAAGGACTAGGGGAAAAAAAAATAATCTAGTTGTATTGTAGATACTCCCTTACCCTCCAGTCTTAAACAATATCTAGGAGGAAGAGTTTGGTTTAAGCCCAGAGGCCAACAACTGATCAGGTAGCTAAACCACAAGATTTGAAAGCTTCCACCAGTCAAGTCTCCTGTAGCTTCAGCTGTGGGGCATGTCTGGAAAAAGCATGTATACTCAGAGTCTGCAGAGGTGATGCTCTAGAAGAGCTGTTCCTTGAAACAAAGAATATCACATGCACCTACTTAAGTCTTATTACTTTTGAGTAAGCTCACTCAGAGTAGTGAGTCTCTTAACATGCCAAGGGACTAGGGCAGCCCAGTTTGGCCGACTTGATTCAGAGCTCCATGCAACATATGCAGGCTCAATATGATGGCCCTAACAGCAGCAGTCTGTGACAGTGACCTCTGAAGGCTCCCAGAACCAGCCTTCAGCAGCAGAGGCAGCCTGCTTTCCTACAGAAGTAGGGCTTGGATCCCCTTCCCTAAAACTAGCTTTTATAATTGGCCTGAAAATGTTCAATTATAACTTCAGAGTAACATTGAAACATGAAAATGAATTGCAAGACTAACAAATGGGCAGGGTAAAAGTTTCTGTATCAGAGATCTGAGCAAAAGGTGATTCTTCACAGTCTCATTTGGATTGTTTCTGCCCAAAGCTCTGGGAAGTTTCAGTTCTGAAGATCTCAGAAGAAGCATAATTAGCCCATACCAAGCAGCACTTCTTGCTTCAGGCTCGACAAGTAACCTACTTAGTCCAGACTGTAGCCATTTATGGGAATACATAATAGAGCAGAAAGTCAAATACCCACTTGGAATGCGTAACTGCAGTTCTTGCCATGCTGAAACGTTTTACGTTCCGAGTTTTAATGGCATGTGCTGTTGCTTAAGAACCACAGCACAGGCTTTAACAGAACACCAGAAAGTAAGACTATATAGACCACCTCATCTCTTAGCTTAAAGTCATCTCTCCACCGAGTATTTAGAAATACATAGATCCAACAATTACACAAGAGTAGGTTGTACAGTAAGATGCTTCCTCTTCCTTTAAGTCTCATACATCCACTGACTGTTACTCAGCACCTGATGAATCACTACTCTGATATTTAATAGGACTGGATGTGTCACATTCCCTGTTATAATTAGTCAGCAAGTCCACATACAGAAGCCTTGTTAAAGAGAATTAAGAAGGGGTCTATGGTGAACTGCAGATGAAAAAAAATTAAAAAAAGCTCCAGTATCTAGTTTACTTACATACATCTCCATGACTGCACCAGGACAGATTTCAGAATATCCTACTGGGCTTGCAGAGTTCAAAAATCAAGATTAGGCTACTGCATCAGGATAATCAATTTTTACTGTTTGTACTACCTTTACATGGCTGTAAAAATTACTGCTTTGGATAATACCTTCAGTACAACTGACTAGTACTGCTGATGAAATTATGGTAACACTGAGCTGTTGGAAGCTCACAGAAGAACAGCTCATAGCAATAACCCATATGTAAAGTTTCCTGTGTGGCAGATATCCCTAAGGCTAGCTCCAAAAGAAATACTACAGATCTGTATTTGGTGCTGACTCTCAGAAAGGAAACATTTCAAACAATTTGTCTGATGCAGATCTGAAGTATGCCAAGCATCAGCTCATTTGTTACTTCCTTCTCATCACCAAAAATAGCTTGATGGCCTGAGGTTAAAAGCTCCACACGCTCAAAGTGTGACTGTCCATACAGACGCAATACTGTTTGGGATGCTATCTGGCTGTATAGTCCAAGTCACCCTTAAGGAAGGAGATTTGGAATAACTGCATATGCTGTTTTGCAAGTCTCTTCCCTAAGATAAAACTGTAACCATAGAAGGGAACATAAAACAGTGAATTCAACAACGCATCCTAAGCATTTATCAGCTGGAAGATAATCATGACCTTAAAGTGCAGTTTCATGATTCTGAAGAGAAAAATAGTATTAGTTGTCATGACAATTTGGAGACTGTAACAGCACCAAAAATACAGTTTGGAGACTGTTCTCTCCCCCTCATTTTCTTCCTTCAGTTGCATATGCCTGTAAGAAAAGGACTAGCTTTTCTTCCACCCACCAGTTTTTCAAGTTAACATGCAGCAAGGAAGTTACTTTTACTGAAGAATTGAGAGCTATTTTGAGACACCAACTGCTTTGTAACTTTACATCATAGAAGATCCTGCTACCTATTATGTCTAATTATGCAGAGTTGCAGAAGAGGTAAGAGTGTAGCCTTACGGTTTGTCCAGTAAATACATTCTAGTATTTTGAGAACACGGGATCTACAACCAAGCTTAAACCAAGTCTCCCGTTTCCAGATGGACTAAGCAACCACCACGCAGTGTTCTTTCATCTTCAGTACATTGCTATTAAAGGACTCTGAAACAGTTGTTTAAAAATGGTTCTTACAAGTTGCTGTGCCAACCAAAAATGGACAACTAGAATAAAGCAGGCAGCAGCATTATAGTCCAAGCACATGCATATAATCAGATACAGGAAAAACTGAAATCCCCTGAAGTCTCCCCTAAAGACAGTGTAAGAACTACCCACTGAAAATACCATTTTAGGTGATGTGGTAAGACAAGCCAAGTAAGAGTTCAGAAAGAACATGGCGTGCTTTACTGCTGCATAAAGTTAGATATCATTCGGTATATGTATTGTCTACATAAAGATTCCAATTTCAGCAGATTAATAGTAGGCTCAATTACAGTAAATTCACCCAGAAGCCAATACATTCCAGACATGCGCACACACACACACACACGAAAAACCCCAAACCCAAGTGATGTTTAAGTAAGTTTTTGGAAGTGAAATTTACTTTGTTTGCAGGGCTTTTAGAAAAGAAGGAAATCTGCTAATTTCATTATTTTGGGGAAGGACAAAGACCTATTAGATTAGACTACATTAACAGGTGCCAAGAGCAGGGAAGTGCTCAATGACTTTAACAGAATGCTTACATAAAGCTCCATTTCAGCTCTAATTCTAGGTGTTTCCACAGTCTACAAAGCACACCACTTGAGAGGCTATTTTTCCCAACACTTTTCTGTATACCTCGGGAATAGAAACAAATCTGAAATACTGTTTTAGGAGGCAGAATCAAAATGTAGCTTAATGTGTTTCCTGTCAGTCAGTTGAACGAGCAACTACTTTCCCCAGTCAAAACCTTGTTTCTGTGCTCATACCAGTTTGTCCCCCATTGCACTGCTTGCAAGGAGGAGATCACTCCCACACTAATAAAAGATCTTTCATTGATCCAGAATAATTAAACTCTCCAAAAAGACATGTGTTTTGTTTTCTTTCAGAGTTCTGGATGTCACACAACACAGCTCATTTCAGTGGTTCTGATTACAGCTGTAGTGGTGTAACTAATGGGGTGACAGACTACACAAACACACTGCAGGGGAAAGCATATCCCTGAAGGTACACACCTCCTGCTAACAGTAGTCTTGCAATTAATTCACAGGTTAAGTGTGCATTACATAGTGTTGATTGGTCAACTAACTCCCTGGCCACTTGGAAATCAGCTACCTGTAATAATATCCTCCAAACAATATACACAAATAAAAAGTGTATTTTGAAAAAGGCAACTAAGTAGGAAAAAATTCAGCATTTAATCACTGGCCAAACTGTAGATTCTCACTAACAGCAGCTACTTATAGCTAAAAACATTTAATTCAAAAGATTGAGGGCAATAATACTTTTAAAAAAGAATCGATACTGACCAACTGCAGTCTTGCTAGCTGAGGCTGAAAAGTAAATGATTGAAGTAATCTGGACAAGCAAAAGCCCTAGAAGAAAGGCCATGTAACCACTGCCTTCACAAGCTTTCTTTTGCTGAGCAACCATGCTTTGCAGAAGCAGTGCTTGCTGCTTTGTGCTAGCCTGCATGCTGTTGGTATAGTCCCAATGCAATTGGATCATGTTGCTCTACCACCTGTATCTGTAACAAGCAGTCATTGTAATCAACACCTTATCAGTGCTGACAAGCTGGAGTGACACCTATGCTGGCAGATGGACCATGTCCAAGGATTCACCATCAGTATCAGAACCCTATTTTTTATCTCTACAGGTATGGAAAGATATATTTTAGTAAAAATCCAAACGAAGCAAGCCACTTACCAGTGTCTGAAAAAGCTTGTGTATGTGAGGACATAGCTCTTAACAGCTTTATTTCCTTCTTGTACTTTTTAACGTGGCTACTTCTGCAGCATGGAGTCTTATCTGGGCTGGCGGGAGGCGGGGGGGGAAGCCTTCCCAAGATACAAACTAGCAACAGGTACCATAAGGGAGGAAGATTCTTACTTTAGGTTGGCCATGACAGATCACTCAAAACTACTGAAAAAAGAAGAAAACCCTGAATCTACTAACACAGATATTGAGAAATTAATCCAGAGTTAGTTCTCTTTGCCGAAGTGAAACAACAGCCTATTTCAGCTCTCCAACATCAGCAGCAATCAACAGCTTAGATAGGGATAGCATGAGACACCTATTCAGTATACATTTACTCCCAGTCTTGTATCACAAAAGGCTGAAAAAGTAACCACACTGTTGCTCCAAAGTAGCATCAGAAGTTAAATATTTAAGGAGGAATACCTTCTATTTCAGAAGCTTAACTTACTCAGAAGAATGCAGTAAGGTTCTTCAAATACAACCTCACTTAAAAGTTAAAACTTTAAAGATATTTTCTCCTGTTAGTTTTCATGGCAATGAAATATGTCATTGCCACTCCCGAAACCACATGGTTTTTGCATTCAAGTTGTACCCTGTATGTTTGATTTAGATGGGAGGTTACTCAAGCAGTAGTATTTATAAACAAGATTCAACTCTGTTAAGAAGAATACAGACTATTTAGAGATTCAGATGCAAGTTTCAAAGTTTTCAACTTACATTTATTTCAGGAACACTAAAACTGTTATTTTCTCTGTAGACTGGTGACTGACTATATTTACACAGAAAACCACTCCCCCAATCCTGTAGAAAAAACCCATCTCTTCTCACCTTGAAAGATCAAAACTTCCACAGATAAAATGTTTACATCGCTAATAATGTCTACAGCTCAGAAGCCAGGAAAAAAGCTGCATGCTGTGGAGATAATTTGGAAGCCAGTTAAAAAGTACATAGAGTTTTAAAAATTAAATTTTACAATACTGGAATGGCCAATGCACTAACGTAGCCCATATGTGTACATGCATAGGATACATTTCTAGTACTAGTGTCTTGTGCCTGTCACAAAAAAAAGTTATTAATAAAGCCTCAAACAGAAGGTTTGATTACTAACGACAGGTAGGTCTAATCCTTCACCTTTACTGCTGGCATTCAGAGACAAACTGTTACTTTGAAAAATATGTAAGGGTGCTTTCCTACCCAGAACAGTAATGAAACTCTCATTTGCCGTCAAGCATCTGCTTCAAGTTTTGAAAGACAGAATGATCACTTGGTTGTAGATGATGACAACCAAAGTCCTTTGCCACACCCAAATTAAAGCTGCTGTACAAATCTTCAGCTTCTCCTGTAGTACTGTGGGCTATTGTTTTGCAACACTGCACAACGTCCCCAATGTAGCTGTAATAGCCTCACTATTGTCACCAATGTGAACTTGCAGTCCTTAGAAATAATACAAGAAATTAACTGGATTTGTAATCAAATTCCGTATCTTGCATCCCTTTGCTAGGCAGCAGAAGAGAAATTAAACACCTATATTCAGATAATTTAACAGCACATGACAAAACATGCAAAAACTGGCTTCAGACTCCAATCTTAAGTAAACCCTGGCAACGGGCACCCTTCCTCCATAGTTGCTAAATTAGCTAACATTAATATTTGATACAAATATGTTAGCGATCATAATAGAAAATTACATACCAGAAAGAATAAAAATAGTCTCTCACAATACAGCTCTTACTCTGTCCAAACACAAGATTACCAAATCAGTCTTAAAAAAAAGGAACATTTTTACGTTTGGAATTAAAAGATTGCACGATACGTGCCAGAACACCCCCACACAGCTAACAGGCTAGGATGAAAGCAGCAGTTTTATCAGTTGAGAACTAAACCCTCTTCTCTTGGTGCTAGGCTGCTAATAACACAGATCAGGTAATGCATCACTGCACACATTTTGTAACACATGGGACCGTAGTTAAGATCTGCAGCCACAAAGCACAACAAAGTCTGGACATAGTTTATTCAGTAAAAATGGGACTACTTCTCCCTGGAGGTCTCTGAAGCTGCTAACAAGAGCTACTCTGACAAGCGGAGCACATCATTTCACTAGCGTTACTGGAAAAAGCAACTACAAAGTGAGTATTATTATTAGCCGCAGAGCTGACAGGAAACCCAATCTGAGATTTTTTCCTCACACAAATATTTATGACAGAGTACTCTATGTTGTAAATATTTTCATGATTATTCATATCCAGAAGAGATACTGCACTGCTGCAAAACATACCCGTACCAGATTCAAGAAACCACTACTAAACTCTCCAGTGGATATAATGAACTAATTCAGGCTTCCCAAGGGTTGCTAAACTTTGTGTCTTCTCCAGCAGCAACACTGACAAGGAAATGATGAAAAACAGCATGCAGAGTTATGTCTGAATAACTAAATATCCATTTTTCCAAAAATGTGGACAGGAATATGCCAGAGCTGGGGAAACTGTAGGTAAGCATTTAGCATTAACAGGTGTTCTTGTTTGGTTTTTTTTTTGTTCTCTCTCACACACACACGACAATAAATACGAAGGAACTTATTGCTGATAGTTGACAGTAAAGCACAATTTTCTCCATGACTAGGAAAGAAGGTTTGACCTTTCATTCTTACAATCCCGCTATTACTGACTGAACTTTTCTCTTGTCAACTTCACATTTGTCAGGGTTTTTTTTCCTTCATACCTACACACTAACTACTTCACAACTTCCTACCACACTCTTGTCTGAGCAGTTTGCAATCACTTCGATAATAAAGCATTGTGGGAAGCATGCACATGACCTTTATTTGAGCAGAAACACAGCAGTTCCACACAGACAGAGGTTCTGAACTGCAAGGCAGATGCTTGCTCAACCACCACTGGAAAAGTGTTACCTATTTAGTTACAGAATAGAAACACCAAGGGGAAGAGCATTTAAAAAAAAGGAGAACTAAACACTTCAGACAAAAATAAAAAGCTAGAAGTCTCCTGAACATCTGCAAAGTCTGACAGTAGCATAATACGTCATTACATACAAAGAAACTCAGTGGAACATGAATCAATATTTTTACTATTTCTAGAATATTTTGGCTGTGATTGTATGTGTATTCTGAGTTCTTTTATCTACGTGTAAATGCAGCATGTCAAGAGCAATATGTGACTACTGAACAGAATTAAAACATCTTACTTATCCCAGAAATCTCTCTTCTCATTATTTTGCCTCTCTTCTCAAGGAAGCCACATGATACATTCAACAGCTTTATTTGGCTGCTACTTACTCCGCTCTTCTTATGAAGAACACTGCAAGATAGAGACATTCCTCTACTTGCCTTTTCCTATTGAGTGCCACATATACAGAAGACTTTGGGCAAAACTTCTGTATATTCTGCAACTAATACACCACAGACATTTTAAAATACATCATTATTTTTTCTAATTTACTTACAGCCATCACCTAAGCTCTAGAATTACACATGACCAAAGATCAGTGTCATGCTTAGATTGCCTTTGATGCTTTTGTGTTTTGAAATTAAGAAGCCTTGTGCTAATTTGCACAAGCTAAGACCAAAATGCATATCCCCAGGTCAATCTCCTGTACTGCATCTACAAGACCTTTGGTACTAACAAAGTACACGTAACACAAGTACTGCTGCTTTGAACAACGATGTTAAAAGTTTTTCTATCTTATAGCATGTCTATTTGCAGAGAGATTAGATACTGAAAGGACTTACTATGATTGTCTGACTCTAGAGCTTCTAAAAGTGTTAACTTTGTAAAGTTAACAGAGTGGCTTATGATAAAGTGGCTCACAACAGAAAAGTCTGCTGCTCATTTCTTCCACTCATTTTAACTGTTTCCCTATAAGGGATCGCACTGGGGCATGGGGCACAGCCACAGGATCCAGTATAGGCAAGCTGTCTTGAAATCTCAGGGCTAGTTAACACTGACATACATTTTGGATGCAAAATTTCAATATCATGGCATAACTCTTGAGTCCTGAAGTTCCTGTTCCAATGAAAAGTTATTTTAAACCAAACTTAGACCCTTTTCTCCGGCTTGCCAAAAGCACAGCTTTTTCATTCCATTATACTAGACATCATCCCTAAGTTGTGTGAGCACGGTTACCCTGTTTGTTGGGCTGCCTAGCTAGGTGTTCTTAGGTGCTTTAAATGCCATAAAAGAACAAGTCACCTCTCCTGCTGACTGGCTATAGAGAGTCCTTTTCCTCACAACAGCTAGACGGGTGATGTGCCATGAACTTCCTAAGCATGCCAGCTGTAACAGATACATCCACAGGCAGGATTTTTCTGCTAGAAATCAGAAACAAGACTGATTAGTTTTGTCACAAACTATTATTTATTGAATGGTACTATACTTAGTACAGAGATACAAATTGTGCCTCAAAAAAAGCTCACAATCTAAGTCATGATTTGGCCAATACATTCCACAGAGAGATTAGAAGTTCACATTCAGTGAATTTTTTAAGTTTTGTTAACATTTGGGTTAGATTTAATATATTCTAAACAACAGTTTGCTCTTCAGTTTATCCACTGCATAAAGTGGAACTACAGCACAGAATCAAAGTTCCCTCAGCACTAAATGCCTCAAAACTTCATCCATTTTGTATACATCCTCAAGCACCTTTGTATTTACAACCCAGACCCAAACACCAGAACTCTAGAGCTACCCTCCCCCCCATGTTAGACATCTCCTGCAGTCAATTCTAAATATGGCTCCTTTGCATTATGCCTTACTAAACCTTCAGAGCTTATCTATAATATACACCACTGCTCATTAAAACTCCCTAGAAAACCATCCATTGCTTGCTGCTTTCCAAAGCACCAGATTTAGTTAAAAAAAAAAAACAAACAAAAAAACCAAACCAAAAAAACCCCTCACCTTCAAACAGCACTTACAGGGAAACTACACCTAAACTAACAATCCATTTCTGTCAAATTAGCACAATGGATCTCTTAACTATGTTGATAGGCCCCTCAGCTCTTGCTCCAGATCAACCTAAGGTATGTCTTGTAGCTAAGAGCAAGCACTGTCAGACAGATGCTCATCACTTTGTGGAAAAACAACAGATCTGCATTACAGTCAACCATGGAGCAGATTTTAGGTAAGAAGTCAAAATGTGAAACGAATATTAAAAGATACGGTTTTATTACAGGCTTCAGTTCATAACTCCTATCTAGGAGTGTCAAAGCAGGCCTCCAAGACCAAATTCTCTCAGAGGACCTCTGACAGGTGCAGATATCCTGCCTTATAAGGCTGCACCTTCAGAGAGCATCTGTCACAGGCACGTACAAGACTACAATCTATCTCCCCCCACACACCCCCAAAAGCACTCAGCCCCGTCACCACCACTCTTCCCCCGTCCTTGCTGCGTCTTCCTGCGAAGAGATGGCCTCAGCCGCCTGGCAGGAGGCCATCACTACCGCCAGCACCACGTGCAGAAGCGACCGGGCAGCAAGAGACGGTCACGTCCCCCTCCCCGGGTTTCACCCCAAAATGCGTCACGGGCAGCAGGGAGACGATTAACGGCGACGGAGCAACGCCTTCCTCCGAGGGAAGCGCAGCCACCCGCGTCCCGCCCGCACCGGCCGAGGGACCGGCGTGAGGGGAAGGCGGCACGGGCGGCGCCTGCAGCCCCTACCTGCAGCCCCGGCGGTGTCTCTGCTGGGGCGCTCGGCAGCCACCGCGGCGGGCGGGCGGGCCTGCCTCAGCACCGCTCCGGCGGGCTCCGCGGAGAGAGCCGCGGGGGACGGTCGCTGGCGGGTCCGCGCCTCACCGGGCAGCTCGGCCGGCCGACCGACCGGCTCCCCCGCGCCCTCCCGGCGGGCGGTACCGCCGACAAGCCGCCAGAGGCGCCGCCGCCCCTCCATGGCCGCCGCTTCACTTCCGGGTCCGGCCGGGCCCGCTCCTGCGCCATCGCCGCCGAGCGGGAGAACGGACGAGACGACGGCCGCGGGGGTAGGCCGCGGGGAAGAAACCCCGGCAGGAGGAGGCTTCCCGCCGAGCCCTTCAGCCGCTGACCCGCCGCCCCCCCGGGAGAGGCACCGGCCACTCCCGCTCCCTTCCTCCCGCGGCCTAAAATGGGAAAGAGCCTCACACAAAATGGCGCCGGGAGGCTGACCGCGGCGCATGCGCTCTGCCTGCCCCGGGCCGCCGCCGCCACCGCAGGACGCCGTCTCCGCCCCTCCCTTCCCTCCCTCTCTCCCGTCCCCGCCCCACCGCGTCTCCAAGAGACGGCCCGCACCAATCACATGGCTCCGTTGCTCTTCCTGTCTCCCGGCAGTGGCCAGTCACCGCGCCCAGAGCTACATCCGGATCCCGCTCCCGCCAATCAGCCGCGGGGGGACGCTGACTTCACTTCAACCTCCGCCAATCGGCTGGCGCTCCGAAGAGGCGCCAATCAAAAGTCACCTTGGCGCTACCTGCGTCGACGCCTGGCCAATGCCCTCTGCAGGCTTCCCTGTGACCAATGGGGGTGCTGTCCGCGGCGCCCAATCCGGGCGGGGCAGAGCCCCCGGGGCGTCAGGAGGGGGCCAATGGGAGTTCAAGCAGGACAGATTCTGCTCAACAGCTTGTTATTGGGCTGGTCGCTGGTGATTCGGTGCGAGTCCGGGCTGGAGGGGGGTGGAGCGGGGCCGCGCTTCAGCCGCCGCCGCCGCCGCTCGCGGGGCTGTCGTCGTCTCGGATAGGGGGGCCGCGGCGCTGGGGAGGGCGGCCGGGCCGGGCAGGGCAGCGCGGGGTCTGCCCACTTCGTTCCGAGTTTGCAGGTAAGGAGGGTCAGCGGGTAGGGGCGGCGGGCGCCTCGGCAGCCGGAACTCCCGACTGCTCGTCCCGGGGGAGGGGGCGCGGAGCGGCGGCGG